GTTCTCAGGTATCTTTGTTGTGCTTTGCCAGTCTGTTTTCTTTGGTTATTTATATTCCACAAATGGGTGAAGCTATCCAGTACCTGTCTTTCATCTTCTGACTTACAAAGTTTTTACACAGTAATTTATTCACATTCCCTTCCCAAATTTAGTATTAGCCATTCACCATTTAACATGTCTTGTTTCTATTTGCATGTTACTTTCTCTAAGAACTTTGAGTTGGCTCAGTTCTTGGTCACAAGCAGCTCATAAGATATATAGAGTGTTAGTAATCTCCAATTTTCTTTTGCTTGTCTTGCACATGAGAAAACTGAGGTGTAGAGAGGGAAAGTGTGTGCCTTGAGGTTTCTCATTGAGTAAGCAGCTGAGCCAGAGACCATGTGGCTCTCAACTCTGTTGTCTTAACCATTATACCATCCTGCCCCTCATCCTAAGTGTTTATCACCATGAAGGCCAAACAAAATCAGAAAATTTGGATCCAGCCATGAAGGGGTTGGAGGACAAATAAAGCTCTTTAGGAAAAAACTCAGAATGAGATTGTGTTTTGTCTAATCACCAACAGCTTTTCACATGGAGCTTCATGTCTTGAAAGTTCAAGTTTCTACAAGTGAGACTGAGTTCTACTGCTGATGCACCAAATCTCCAATAGACCTAACTGTGTTTTCATGCTATCTCCTTTTCCTAAAGTAACAAAAGTACATTAAAAGGATGGGATATAAAATGGGAAAATCAGAGCAGGAAAGAAACTAAATTCCAGTTCTGGTCTGAGATACCTTCATCAATTCACTCCACTTGCTTGGGTTGCAGATGCCAGTACCATGAAGCTCTTTTCATTCCACTTTTTAAAATAATACACCACCTCAGTATAGAAACAAAATTAAAGCAAATAACCCCAATATTAACATTTATGTATAAAAAACATTACAATACTGGGTACATTATCAACATATGCTTAAAATGTATTTAAAAGAATTCAAGTATTATAAACTTTGTTGGTACAAAGAAAACTTTTTATTGTTCTGAGTTTTTTAGTGAAAAATGCTATGATTATTCTCTAATTTCACAAAATATCTTGTTGCTGTTAAGATAATTAGATGATGTGGTTGTGGACTAGTGTGAGGGCATCCTTGCTTTGCACAGCTGTCACAAAGGGCACGGGAAGGCATTTCTCTTTGGCTGGCTCTCTGAGTCATGGCACTCATGCTGAATGCCATTTACTAATTAGGCCAAAGTACTGTTTAGAATGAGTTTGTAAATTTCCAACACAATACAATTACTCACTGACTCTTCCTTCTTTGAATATTTAAACAAACTAGACAAACTCTGATAAAATATATTTGAAAATATTTTAAACTGCATTAGTTCCCAATGAAAACTGTTGTGCATAAAATATTCTTTTGCAATAACACTATATAATAGGCCTCCCTGGTGGCCTACGGGTTCTCAGTGCTATCACTATGATGGCCCACTACGACTCCCTGAGTTCGATCCCTGGCCAGGGAGATGACCTGCATGGTGCAGCAGACCTCTCCTATCTGGCCTGCTGCTCCCCTTAGCAGTGTATTTCAGTCAGTCTGCCTGTTCTGTTCCCCGCTCTGTCTCTGGTGAATCCTCTCACTCTCTGCATCTCTGGCGTACACCCAGTTCTAAGCAAAAATAAATAAAATTGTTAAAAAATATATATGGAAATTTTTAAACAATTTCCAAGATATTGTCTCTATGGCATGTTTGTTTTTCAAAAAGGAATTGCCTTCTTATTCATATTAAAATTACCACTTTACTATATCAAAAAAAAAAAAAGAAATTAAGTCTATGTGTTTGTATTTTAAATACCTACTAGGAAAATTCCAGCCAGACACTTGTCAGGGGAAGTGTCCACAAATGTGGAATACTTGCATTTTTGCAGAGGAAAAATATACGTAACATCCTGAAGTCCAACTACTGGCAACGTAATAAAAACGAAGGTCTCAATCCTTTTTGCTATCAAATGTAGCCAAAAAAACCAAAAAAAGACTTTCATGGCCATGTACGAGCTCATTACAAAGTTTCATTATATTCTCCTTGTTTTTAGAAAGTAGAAATGTGATTGCCATGGACTGGGGGTTGGGAACAATCAGGCAATGTGGGTAAAAGGTGCAAATTTTGCGATGAGTAAGTTCTAATGACTTAATGTAAAACATGGTGACTATAGTTGGTAGCACTATATACAATTGAAAGTAGAGCTTAAATTTTCTCATCAAAAAAAGATAAATATGGGAATGATAGACTCAATAGAAGTCTTTTCACAATGTACATATGCATCAAACCATCACATTGTTGTACATTTTAAATATCTTACCATTTTGATAATTATCTCAACACAGTTAAAAAACTTAAAAAATGATTATAAATTTTATAGTCATTTTATAAATTTTATAGCTATTATAAATGAATATTTGTGAATTTCTAGTTCTAATTTCTTTAAGGCCAAAACTTATAATAAATGATGCAATAAAAATATTATAATTATTATAATATATGAGATTCTCTGTGATTATATTCTGGAATTTATTTTATTCCAAAATATTTGGATGGGCAAACTTAGTTATACTGGAAGTTATTGTTTTTAATAAAAAGTAATTTAGTGTGGAGTATCTAGTTTTCTGTTGTTTGGGTTTTTTTTTATGGAATGTTTTTCTTTTGATGACTCAGAGTTAGTACTATATTTCATCAGTAAAGCAATTTAGCAAACAACATAAGCTGGGATATGACAAACACCTGTATTATGCTGCAAATTTTCCACACCAAATTACTAATTCTAATACTTATGTCTTTCCCCATAAGCAGTTTCCTGCGCCTGTTCCAATAATATTTAACTGATCAAAGAATGCACCATGTCCAGGTTGTTTTCATACATTATTTCATTTTAATCTTAGCAGGAAGAGCAAGGGTATTTGCCTATTACTTTTATTACATAAGCAACCTCATAAGATGCTTGTAATCATTTGTTATTGGATAAAGTATATAAAGGACAGATGAAATCTTGACTTTAAACATCACTGAAAACATCATGGAGGTTTTTCTTCACGTTCAGTTTTTAAAGTCTTGCTGACACAGTGAGGCCACATGTTAATTGTAATACATCTCAACCTGGCAGAGGAGGGCACCCTACAGTGTGGAATTCCCCTTCTGTCCTCCCAACACCCCCTCCACTCCCTGCCTTGGGGCTTCAGTTCTGTAGTCAGCTATCAAGGGTTACTTTTTCAGCTTTATCTATTAATTTAGTTACTGTATATTCTGTATATTAGTGACACCCTCTGCTATTTATCTTTCTCCTCTTCACTTATTTCACTTAGCATTATCCTTTCAAGCTCCATCCACGTTGCTGCAAAAGGCATGAGTTTATCTTCTTTGACCACTGGGTAGTATTCCATTGTGTAGATAGACACCACGTCTTCTTGACGCACTCATCTGTTCTGGGGCATTTAGGATATGTCCTTAGTTTAACTATAGTAAATAGTGCTGCAATAAACATAGGAGTGCAAGTCTCTTTTCAAATTAGTGTTTTTGAAATTTTTCGATAGATGCCTAGGAGGACAGTTACTGGGTCAAATGAGAGATCCATGCTCAATGTTTTGAGACACTTCCACACTGTTTTCCATAAGGGTGGCACCAATTCACCAAACACATTACTTTAATAATCAGAAATAAAGAATAAGTAACTAAAACTTTAATTTTCTCCCATTTTTGAGCTTCTTATATATTTGTAACCTAATCCAATACACTTCTCACATCCCATAATCATCCACTCCACTTTCATTGTTATAAAGGATGGAAGCAAGTTTATATTTGCTCAAAGTATATTAAAGCTTTGTATGCCTCCATTCCCATTCCAAATTTCTAAAACATTAGAGTGTGTGTATTTGGTTCTATAGATTTTCTATCACTATATTGCTATATTTTTTATCACTAAGAAAGTAAATGAATAAAATTTTATGCAAATAATGCAATGATTCACCATTCATGTCACCTCTTATAAGAACCTATTTCATTCCAAAATATAACTTCCCATTAAAGATCCTGGTTAATATTTTTCGATTAAAACAGTTACCGTGTTTATGGTGATAGTTTCACATGTATACATACTTGCCAAGCTTGTCAAATTGTATAATTCAATTCTGTACAGTTTCTATGTCAAATGTAATGCCTCAGCAAAGCTGCTAAATAAAACATAAGAAAAGTCTCCTCTTGAATATTCTTGAATATGACTTAGCAGCCAGAACTTCACAAACACATCCACACACAAGATAAAGAAGCGCCACTCTTAAAATGCATGAGCAAGTTTATTTACAAATGCAGTTAAACAGAAAGGTTTGCTAGTTTCTGGAAAAAAACCTCTGGAATACAAACTATGATTATTTTTCATTAATGTAAAGTAGCAGTTTTCCATTAGGAATTGCTCAGAAACAATTCTGGTGAAGAATATAGACCTCCCCTCATCAAGCAAACGAAATGTTACATAAGCTAAATTTTCTTAAAAATCATAGTATTACATAGATAGAAGGACACAGAAAACAAATTTATGCATGAATTTTAGGGAAATCTCCCACATGGTTCTGCATTAATTTAGTGTACATTACAATAAGCAGAGCAAATGCAGTTATATATTTATATTAACTATTTCAAATGTTTCAGAACCTTTTTAAAAAAACAATAAAATAACCTTTTTCAAAACACCACTTGGAAACCAAACTAGATTACCAGCCTCAAAAATATTTTAAAGTTCTTCTTTTTTCCCTTGTGCTTTTAAGATGTGACTCCAATAGGTAAATACTGTACTTTTTTCCCCACACATAATTACCTTCTTATAAATAAACAACAAAAATACAAGTTCTACCAAGACTAATACTCTGATGTCATCTAAAGAGGCCAAAAAAAAAGTGTTATCCTTTTTTTGAAAAGAGAGCCCAAAAGACATACAACAAATATTTATAGATCTACATCAGCAGCAACCACCTCCTCTTCTATCTGCAACAGGGCTTTCGTGTGCGCGCTTACATCACATGGCAGTTGGCCGTCCAGCTGATCAGCAAGGAGAGAAGAAAGAAAAGTGCTTAGATTCAGAAACACTTGAATATCACCACCTGCATGACATGGCAGGAATCACTCAGAAAATGGTCCCATGAAGTAGAAAGAGCAACCTTGTCATTCAGGATAAAAGGAGGCAAAATACAGCCTCAGGGGTCTCGAGTTCTTTATTTGCAAGAATGGAATAAAAATTAACTGGTGATATGGAGACAAATTACACTCCACTCTATTATTGGTATTGGAGGAGAGGAGGCATGGGCAATTTTTCTTCGATGATTCCAAAAATCAATTATATTTGGCTTTGGAATTTGATTAAAGAGAGAAAAGTGCACACACACACACTCCCCCATGAGGTGCCCAGCCTTGATGCTCTCCAACCTCGTAGCAGCATCCAGGGAAGGGCTGGACCACTGTGGTAGGAAAGCTCAGAACCCAAGACAGATGAAACAGAGTTGAGGAGGCTTGAGTCATTTCCAAAGCACTCTTCACATAAAGGGCCAAATAAATACCTCAGAGTTCAAAAGCAAATGGTTTTTCTGATACCACTTGTAACACCCTTTCACAATAAGGAAGAAACACATGTTACCAGCATCAAGGTTCAAGATATAAACAGCAGTCATGGTTGTCTTTATGTAGCTACGACATATATGTACTCTCACACACTATCGTATGCTTTCCAACACACATAAGCAAAAATATGCTTAGACATAAAATAGCATGGGAAGTTTTTGAAAAATTCAATTTTTCCTAAAATGACAAAAAAAGCCCATATAATCAAAATTAATGCGCTCCTTTTTAAAAATGCTATATATACTAACCTATGATTATATAGTAACACAAGGCATAAACTACTTATTAAGCCATATTGTTTAAAGTTGGCCCTATTTTCAATCATATAAAATAAAGCCAATTGCTAAATAATAGAAATCACATCATGAGGTACCAATCCTTCCTTAGCCAACAAAAGGATGACAGTCTACACAGAAGGTTCATTTTAACTGTATCCTCAAATCACTAAAAGTTTCTCCAGACTCTGAGCAGATGGCACAGGATGCTGTCCTCACTCTGGGCATCCACAAGGCTGTGGTTGGAGTCCTGACCCCTGGGCCCTCTCAGCATACTCTCTTAAAGAGAACAGACTCAAATTCTAAAAACCTGGCACTCTAAGGCATGTAGGTGGAAGTGGAGCCAGTGGCAGGATCAGGGAAATGCATGGGGACCCGGGTTCTCCTTAAAAGACAGGAAATTTTCTCCCTGATTTGCTCTCTTACATTTGAATCTGAGATAGCAGTTGTTGCAGTAGAGCTGGTTGTTTCTGATTCTGACTTCGGCTCCTGAGGAAGAACCGCCGAGGTCACACCCACAGGCAACACACTGGAGGGAAACAAAAGAACAACCACATCAGCCAACTCAAGGATGCTTAGGGCATACCCAGGAAAAATTAAAAAATTGAGCAGAATGCAGCTTCTAAGCTTAGATATGTGTCAGCAAAGGAAAAAAAAAAAAAAAGAGGCCAAAAGATAATTAGTAAATTAAAATCAAGCCTGCCAGATGAGACATTAAAGAATTCATAAAGCCAATTTTGAGAACCAAGAGGATCATTCTAAATATACTAAAGAGTACAAATGACTCACTGATGGACTTAGAGGGATTTAGTCTTCATTTCTCACAGAGGAGTATGAAAGGAGAAGGCGCCACATGAAAGAACTGGCCAAGTGAATTGAAGACTGGGTTTCTGCAACTCCATCTGGGGTGGGCCACCCACGTCCCCTCTGCACTAACTGGGCAAGTGTTCCCGTGGCACTTTCACTTCAAGGCTGTGTATCTTGGCTCCCCGTGCCCAAACACTAAGCATTTTGACTCATTCTGTTCTGCCCAGGAACAACCCAAGTCAGCAACAGACAAGCTTAAACGAGCTCAGTCTGTGGGACTCCAGGATCCATAACCAAATCCCCAGACCCAATACAAATTCAAGAATCAATGAGTCTCTCAAGACAGTGCAAAATGGGGTAGTCACAGCCTTAGTTGTTTCTCAAGTGCAAGAACCCATCAGGTGAGAGCAGACTGTGTAACTGTAAAAATATTTACATATACATGTGTGAAAAATACATGCTTATATATTTCCCCTGCGCTAAGCAAGGTGTTCAGACACTGCTATAACTGCAGTCCCCATGCTGTTGATAACACTGGTAAACCAGTGTGTCTAAGGCAGCATGTTAGAGAAAGCTTTTCTTCACTGTAGAAGTTTACTTAGAGGATCCTAACAGATTGGAAGTAGGAAGTGCATCGTGTTTGCAGATTTAATTTTTGAAATTCGGTTCAAGATTTGACAACGAGGCGTAGCAGGCAATTTGCGGTTCAATATGCAGCACATATGACGACACAGGTAGCGCCTAGCTTGTTAGCGGCAGGTCCACACCCAGCGATCAATGAAGCCATGCGCTCTTCCCAGCAAAGCTTTGCGGGTCTGCAGGCTGTTTGTCTCAGTCTCACCTTAAAGCAATGCAAATGATAACAAAGACCCAGGGACTCGATGATCATGGCGGCTCCTTTGCCCAGAATGTTATTGCAGTAGGAGCACACGCGCTTCCCACTGACTGACCTAGACACGGAACAAGAATGGAATGGAGGCTTTCATCTGTGCTCAAGTTATGATGGGGTAACACACTGGTATTAACATTAGCAATATTTTAAGAAAGTCGATATACCCATGGGAGGAAATTGTCAGCTGACAACCAGAATGAACCTTTGTTATCTTGTACCTTGAGTCAGGATCACGCTAGTTCCGAAACCCTTGACATCTGTTCACATCTGTTAACAGCTTCATCCCTCCATTCTGCGCTTCCCAGTGCAGTCTCTCCTGCACTCAGAAGCAGTCTCCCGCTCCGATAACCCACCCTTCATCTTCTGGCCCATGAATCCTAAAAGTCCAACTCTCATCATGTCTCTCCACCTCTCAGAGCACAGAGAACAGCAAAGACTTTTCCCAAGGACATTGCAAGTCTCCACATCTATCATCTGGACCTCATCTTCCCATCCTCCTACCCCCAGAATTCTAGCTGAAATGAGCAGAAGTGCCAGCGCTTTCCTGACTGTGCTGCATGCTTACAGGACTGCCCCATGCAGAATTAAAGGACAACTGACTGACACCTTTTAGATAAATTAAGAGGGTTTTTCCACTTTCCTTTATGTACAAGTCCTCTCTCTCTCTAGTGGGAAGGTGAAGGTACTTCTCACCTCTGCATCCCACTGCACTAAACTAGCATAGCACTTTGGAAACACTGGAAAGTGCAGAGCAGGTGATGTCTCATGTTAGAGGCCACCCCCCAGATAGAGATCTTTTCAGGGCAGAAAAGCCCATGGGCTGCCTGCCATCTGCTCTGCGAAGGTGGGGCTCTGAGCAGGTATATAGATATTCATGTCCTCTGTCTCTGTTCCATACAACAGACTTCATTTCTCTTCCAAATCTACCATGAATCTTTGCCCCTTTCTCTTAATTCAAACTCCCTGACTCACTTTTTATAGATCCTAGTAAAAGTATTTTAGATTAATGTAAAATGAATTTTCATAACAAAAGCCTTTATTTGATACCTAAAAATACTCCAACTTAATCAGGGTGTTTTCACTTTTCAGCATTTGCAGTGAGAAGAAGGAAATACCTGTAGGATATTATGGGTGACACCCAAAATATTGCTGCCTGTGGTTATGCTGTGTGAAGCATCACCAACCTGTGGGAAAGCTACAAAGACCAAAAACCCAACACCTGTAGGTAACTGAGTTTCAATCCCTATCAAAAGGGAAGGCTGGAGTGAAGACCTATCATAATAATTCTTAGACAGTTCCCATAGCATATACCCTACAAAGTTGATACAGTCTGAACAACACTCTGGCACAACAGTTGAGAGGCAAGTAATTTTTTTTTTTTGAAAATCCAAAAAGCAATGTCTATTTCATTTTCATCCAGCTTATTAAAAGTTCCACAGGCTATGGAATGTTTTCCCCTTTACACTCAGTTCCTATAAGATGGGCTTGGATTATGGTCTCATTGAAACAGTCAAACATATTTCAATACTGCTGTTGCCCAGGCATTTCAAATGCATTCATGAGCTACTTTATGTTTTTATGACGCCACACCAAGAACTACTCAGGGACGTCTGCATCTAAGACACTGACCACAAGCACAAGCAAACGAAACAGTAACAACGAGGTAGACATTTGAAAGGTCTCCAACGGCCTCACAAGACGTCCATAAATGCCTTCAGGGTAGCATGGAAAGGTGTGAAAAAGCCCTCCTAATTGTGCTGATAAAAAAAAAAATACTGAATTTGAGACATTCAAAGAGGCTTTTCTTCTTCACTGGAGAGCTTGGACAAGATTTGGGGAAAATTTTAATAGAAAAATACCCCTAAAACCAAAAAGAAAAGTTGGAAGCCAAAGTGCCTCACCTATTACGCTGCTGCGACCCAGACTGTGCAGATGTAGGGGAATGGCTGTGTGGTGTGGAGGAAGGGGCAGAGGTGGTCTTGACGGAGCCAGCTGAAGAAGGGAGTACGCTGGGGGATGGGTTGCGCATGTAGGCACGGTTGGATGTGGACACCCCCTGAGCAGGTGGGCGGCTGAAGTCTTGAACAGAGGAAGAAGCGTAGATGGCACTCGGCTGATTGAGCCAAGCAGACTGTCTCCCAGAATTGGATCTTGGGGAATCCAGGTTATCTAGAGATTCACCTCTGCAATGCAGAAAAGATCAATAGAATACATTCAACTTGAAATCTATCATTTTAATAGTCATTAAATGTCCATTTTATAAGCAAGCATTAATCAAGCAAGTGCAGTTAACATTAAAAAAATGATCTTTCACAAGCAAAGGTTTTCCTTAGCAGTATCATGCTGTTTCACACTTGACAAGCCTTTCTAATTTTTTATGTACTTAGTGCTTCAGTAAAAGAATAAATACCAACCAAGGTGGAATGAAAATACTAAGAAATATTTTTAAAATACAATACAAAGACAGGGCCTCCCCGGTGGTGCATTGGGTTGAGCGCAGTGTTGTGAAGCTATCTGCAGCCTCTGCAGCACAGGTTCAATTCCTGGCTGGCCAGGCAGATACCCACATGGTGCGGCAGACCTCTCCTATCTCACCCACTGCTCCCCTCAGACAGAGCTCCCCGCTGTCTCTGGTGAATCCTCTCACCCTCCCGTGCCTCTGGCCTGTACCCCAGTTCTTGTATAAAAATAAATAAATAAATAAATAAAAATTTAAAAGTTCAAATTTAATAAAAATAAAATACAAAGTCAAAGGCATACATTCTTCCCTTATACCAGTTTAGAGATATCAAATCTTAAAGTATTTTTTAAAATCCAACCAGAAAAAAATTTTAAGTATTTACATATGCCAAATATCAAACTAAACACTGTCACAAAAATAATAAATATATTTAATCTTCACAACACTATATAATTTTTTTAATCTCAAAGAAATTAACTTATTCATAGTAAAGGAGCTTGTTAGTGGGGGAACTGGCTTTAAAACTAAGGTCTCTGATTCCAAAGTTACTAGGCCATTCAAAATTTAGAATTCATATTATAGAAATATTCACCAGCCACTTCCCTTAAATTGTATATACATTTAAAAGAGGATTTAGCTCACAGACTGACTGAGGTACAAACTTAGGGGAAATCCCTCTAAAGTCTTGTGCTTACATTAATTCTGATCTACAAAAATTGACTCTAAATTATGAAGGCTTTTTCTACCTGATCCATTTTTTTGCTTTTAAAATCCTCTCATTTAGCCCAAGTTTGAAATAAGTATTTTGTCTTTTTTCTCACTTACCTGCCCTAATCCCCAGAGGTAACCACTGTACCTTATGCACTGTCCCAGACTTTTCCCTCACATATGCAAGCACATATTCACATACAGATGCACGCTGACCTGTGTAATCATAGCCATGTCTGTTTGCATATCTATGCATTCTTAAACATTATTCTACAATGTCTATTCTTCAATAGCTTGCTTTATTCCACTATCTTCATGTCAGTTCATGTGATACCTGAGAGGCCCCCAATGACTCACATACTGGTGTCCACCCCTTTGTGTAGTCCCCACGCCCACCCCCTGACTCTGGGCCTGGCCACGTGACAACCTGGACCAATGAGGCATTGGCAAACATATGTAGAATGATGTCTTATGAGCGTTTGCCTATTAGGACCTCTCTTCTTGCAAGGTTTCTTCTTTGAATCCAGGTGCCGTGTCATGAGGCAGCAACCCAAGCAGTTCTGCGAGGAGAACATGCCAAGAACAGCACTCCCCACCAACAGCTCTGGCTCAGCCCTCAGGAGCATCTACCTCAGGGATCAGCAACACAACCCACTGCCAGGGAATGCATGAACTCCCAAGTTAAGGAAATTTGACATTTTTCAAGAGTCAATTAAAAGCAACAAAGCCAGCAAAGAACATGTGACAGAGACCTAAGTGGCCCACAAAGTCTACATAATTTACTGCCTGGTCCTTTATGCAAAAAACCAAAAATTTTTCCTGCTCTAAATGACTATAGTTGCCTTAGCCAACACCATGCAAAGACTGCCCCAGTCACCACTCAGAACTGTGAAAGAAAATGAATTATTTGAACACTAAGTTTTGAGGTGGTGTATTGTATTGCAATATGTCTCTCATTCCTTAATAAAGTTTGTATAGGTATATACCTTGTCAACATCACTATTCATTTAATGAGCATTAAGTACAATCTCAGTAGGTATTTTAATTTTTCCCTTTTTTGCTATTCATATATTTTGTATTTGTTTAATATTATAGCATTAAAATGTATACCCCAAAAATAAAATAAATATCTCAAGATACATGTGCATGCTTCTCCAAATGTATCCAGAAAATAAAGTGCTAGAAACTACTGCTCACAGGACACACTGAAAAATTTTCCACTCCACTGGAAACAAGAATGTCTATTTCCTTTTACAATTGTCAATACTAGATTTTAATCAATCATTTAACTTGCCCCAAATCACATAAGCAAGATACACCATTGTTTCAGTAGTGTTGATCTTTTATGTTTAATGTCTTTTACTTCTTTTACTATGAACTATCTGTTCATATTACTCTGTTTCCATAAAGTTGTCAGGGCTTAATGATTCGTTTACAAAAGTTTTTTGTATACTGAGATAATTAGTCTGATGCCAGTAATTAACAAATCCTTGTTTGTTAGCTATGGAAATATTGATTCAGAGTAACTTCAGTATTCATTTATCCAAGATACATCTTATCAAATGTCCACCCTCTCATCTCTAATTTATAACTATGTATATACGTTATTAAAGTCACAAAAATTAGGATTTTACACTTTGTGGACCCTCTGTCATGATCTCAATCTAACCATTTCCTCATTATAAATATAAAAAGGTTAAATTTTTTAAACCTTCAGCAGCCAAAGGAGCACTAAGAGCAGAGTAAATGATTTAAGTGTCTGAATCAAACTTCGAAGTCTCACATCCGGCCTTGCAACCTATTAGCCACATGGTTTTGTCCAAGTGTCTTCCCTGTTTGAGTCACTTTCTTCATGCCATAAAACAGAATTACTGTCCCTGCCTCAAAACATTTTCCCCAGATTGAAATGATGTAGACAGAGTAACTGGCATGTATCTGAAACTTAACAGATTCTTCCTGACATGTGCTCTGTTACTTCCTTTCTCCCACTATATCCTAGGTAAGAAAATTATGGCATCTCCTCTGTCCAAGGCAGACAATATGTCTAGAAATTGAATATTCACTTCACTACACAGAAGAGAAGTAATTCCAAAAATATCTCGTACCTTCTCATAATCCCAGGCAGGCAAATAGGCTCTTTATTTACTACGCTGGCACTGCGCTGTCGGATCCAGCTGCTGTCATTGTGAAGTGATGTCCTCTTCCTCATTTCTTGAAGGATTTGTTGTCTCTCCCATTCTGCTCCTGATGAGAATGGCTCCCTTTTGGGGCTCCTCTGCAATGAGCCAGTGTTTCCAGCTCTGTCTAAATACCTGTTGCTTTCTAAGTAAAATCACACCAAAAAAAATTTAGTGTTAGTCCTTTTTAAGAAAAAATGATAGTGGGTAGATCTACAGAAACAGTGCAGAAAAAAAAATAAATTAAAAAGTGACAGTGGACATATGCTGACATTATCAACTCTCAGAGAAACTGTGGCATGAGAATGTAAGAGTCTGCTATTTCTGGAAATTCCAATTGCACACCAGAGGCACACCACAGAAAACACTCAGACACACAGGGAAAAGCTTAAAAAGCTACAACCAGCATTGATTTCAGCAATATTAAGCTACAGAACACTCATCTAGAAATAGTTTCTCTTCTACTTTTCCCTTTCTCAATTAAATATATTGAACACATGCCCATCAGACACTTGCTGTGAAAACTGCAAGGAGACAGGAGTTCTAGTCTTTCAAAAAATGTGCATTCCACCTGGCAGAGAATGGCATCATTGCATGCTTCCCCAGCTGATATGCCTCAAATCTTCACATATGAAAGTCTGATAAGTCATGACCAAATTGTAAGAATGAGAGCATATTTAATCTGAAATGACTTTGTGAAATCAAAACTATCCAAGTAATCCAAATGGTTACCAAGGAGTGTTATAAGACTTGTTCTTGTCTAAATAATGGGCAGAACTATAATTTGAATATTGAATTTGCGAATAATTAAATCAGACTTTATCTTGATACTTTGTCTCATGGGGTTTGTTGATGAATTTCTGATTTGGATAAAACATCTATAACTTTGAGTTTCCACCTTACTGTGGATTAGGAAATCTTATGTAAGGATTTATTTTCTTTCAGAATCCAGATTCACTGCTATTTTCATCCTTTCAAAATTCAAGGTGTGTCTCTGCACAAGTTTATCTTCTAGTAAGCAATGAGCACAATTAATAGAGATTTCTTACACACACCTATATTTGCTCTTCTGTGTACACACAGCTTATCAACTTGGTGAGATTTTAAATAAAGCATTTCTACTTTTAACGTGCATTACTGGCATAACCAAGTTTTTCAATCAAATATTTAATAAATTTCATGACTGCTATTCAGGAGCTTATCATTAGTAATGGGGAGAAAATATAGATACAAAACAACCAGATTAATAACATAACCACCAACATGAACAAGACAATTCCAGAGATTGCCATTAATAACAGGTTATGTGTTTAAGTTCAGGAGAGAATATGATCATTGTAGGCTAAAAATGCTTCGTGGCAGATTAAAATACTCTAATTCTCATGGTGACTAGGGGGCACATTTTGGGGAGAAAAAAAAAAACAGAAATTCAGAGAGGAAGAGATAAGAACAAAGAAAGCAGATCAGAAGGCATTTGATAAGTTGGGAACACAGAGAACAATTTGGTTATAGTTAAAGAGTTCCTTATGAGAAAACTAAATAGCAAAATAGGCTAAAAGTTAAACTAGGACTGGATATTACAAGGGCCTGTGTTTTAAGAGAGAGGAGTGATTATAGAACCATAAATCCTAATAGTATCTGTAAATTCCACAAGCTTTAATCAGAGATTACAAACTAGCTGATACCAGATCCTTTGGGCCTATACATAAGTTTGGCTCACAGAAAGGTTATATTTTTTAAATTCCTTGTGAGCCCTTTAAAAATAACATAAAATGCAGATTTTTTTTTCCTTCTCTTTTATAACAGAAAAGACTGACGATTACAGGCTTGCATTCTAGCACATGGCAGTGGCCGGCTGGAGTTGGGGAGAGACTATCCCCCAAAAGAGGGGACCAAGCATCCACCAAGTTCACCCCAGACCTCACCCAGACCTTCACTCACTTATGCAACTGACCAGCACCCTCTTTACACAAAGCCTGGTTAAAATGATGCTTATTGCTAGGGATTATTTTTCCCCTGAGTTATTTAATTTCAGTTGCATGTGTCAGAAATATACTTTATACTAACAATATCCAATTTCAAATTGTTTTTGCCAAGTGAAAAAATTACCATTTTGGTTTTTTGACATCTGGTCATTTGAACGTAAAATTTTAAGTTTACATAAAATTTTTAAGTCTCCTGGTAGTCTGCAGAACATTTTTCTGCTCCCATTGCTTTGGCTGCATGATAAAATCTATTATATAAAACTGTATCAACATCACTTCACAAAATTCCCACATATTTCATTAGCTATTTAAAACCATCCTAACCTCCCAGGACTCCCTCTATTAAAAAATAAATCCAAGATCAACATAAGATTGTCGTTTTGTCTTTAAAAATGAATGCTAAAAACACTCAGGAGTTTAATTACGTACTCTTAATGAATCTGAAATATCTTGACCTTAAAAATACTGATCATAGCAAGTGATAGCATAAATAAGCAATTGTGTTGAAGAATTTTGAAAAAAAATTCACATTTACCATTTTTATTTGTGGAGTGATCATCAAGTTCAGTAGTGGATTGGGATTTATTCCTACAACATAGAACACAATATATTACATATGTTGTTTTAAGAACATCCTTTTCATTTTTATGAAGCACACCCAAGGAATGTTTTTTAAAGCAGTTGATTTATTTTCTACATCGGTTCAGAGCTATTTTTAATTTAATACCAAAGAATATATTTTACATTGTTTATTTTCTGCTACCAACTAGCAGAAAATAGTGACATCTCTAAAATAAAGGAAGAATTACAAGATAGAAACAAATGAAAATCCATTTGAGTTTGTATGATGATTAAGACAGTGATTACTGATCACTGTGTATACTTTCCCCTCCAGATCACCATTTACCAGGCTGTTCAAAGCACCTGTCCCACATAACCTAACTCAGACTCTCCCTCTTCCCTCATGCTGCCCAGGGGTCACAGAGTCAAATTTGTGGGGGGCACCAGCGTTACTAGGGTACGTCTCTGAAACAACAATTTACCAAATGCTATTCTGCCATTCAAAAAGGTGTTGGGGGTCATGGCAAAGGTGCCTTCTGAAAATTCTGATTTTGTAACGGCAAACTTTAAGCTTTTATCTCCCGAAAGCCTCTATGGCTGTACCACGACTACATCACAATGGCCTAACGGTAGTATTTCACAATTTTTAGGATTCTCTAAGTTTCCTTTCCCTACAACCTAATTATTTTCCCCAAGATAAAGAGATACACAAATATGGCTTATTTAAATCTATAAGTAAATCTATAGCTTTGAATATGATATACATTTTAATAATTCAGCAATATTCATTATAAATAAGGGCAGACATCACTAAATTTTTTCCTACCTTATTGTCAGCCCATTACTACTTCTATTTACATTTTCTGTCTACTCTAAGCCCTATTCAGTCATCCTTTCACTTCTAGATATGAGTCTTCCTTTATCTAAGTCAAGCTGCCTTATCTCTAAGGCAAACTTCCTAAAAAAATTTCATCTTTGAAAACACAAATTCATGGTCAAACAGTGGATGTTTATAGATAGATTCTGTCTAGAGTCCAGTGATTTCAAAAGTGCAAAGCATTTTAAAAACTATTTAAAATGCTGTACACCTGCTGTAAACCAAGGTAACTGCCCCAAAATTACTTTAAAAACATTAAATTCAGTATTTTAGGAAATGTTAAAATATGTACAACTTTTCAGGTATTTGTAGTTCTGTCTTCTGTCACTAAAATTGACCAGTAGTTCTCTTCAAGCTAAGAGAAAGGGCACAATTCTCATTTCAGATGTCCACATGGAAAATCTTTTTTGGGTAAACTTAGATTCTTGCTGATAACCTCTCTAAAAAGAAGGATAAGGTAGATTTCAAAAAAAAAAAAAATGAGTACAATTCTGCCCCTGTCTCTGTTCAGTTTCCCTTGATTGTGGCTCCTCCCACAAAAAAGGTGAGTTTTTCTCCTCTCCACGAAGTTGGGCTCATCTATACCTAAATTTAGATAAAGAGAATGTGGCAGAAGCAATAATGTGTCAGCTCAGAGCTAGAAGGGAGGCATCTTGCACACTCCCTTCTCATTAGTTCACCTCTCCCTTGCCCATCACCATCTACCTAGGACAGCGCGGGCTTATTGGAGGGTGAAAGACAAGTGGTGTAGTCATGAGCATTACTGCAGCTGACATCAGCCAACTTCTCAAAACACAGCTGCCTGATAAACTGGCAAATGCATTTAATGAGCCCAAACAACCTAGAGAACTACCCAACTGAGCTCAAAAGCTAACCCCACAAAACTATGAGTTAAGTCACTAAAGCTAGGGTGGTTACTTACATAGCAGAAGATAATTAATACAAAAATCAATCAGCAAGACCTCCTTGTATGACACAATAGACTAATCTCCAAATCACAATGAAATGTTCTACCCACCTGTCACTAGCAAGCAAACCTGAAGATTCTTCCTCTCTCTTGGATATATCATAGGAATCAACAGGCCTAAAAAGACAGAAAGAGATGATGGTCAAAATATTAGACTTTAAACACTTCTCCGAGTTTAAGAAATAGATATGAAAATAATGATACTCCACCCTCTTTACAAGACTGGCCTCTGGGTTGAAAATTAAACATACAGAAGTATTTAGATGAATTGCTACCATTGCTAATAGACACTTGTAACTCATCTACTCCACAAACAAATTGTGTGCCTCCTACACTCTGATACTGTTCTAGGACTGGGCTGCAGATGTCAGCAAAATAAATGTATTGGGGGAGAGAGGTAAACAAAAATGTGTCAAATGTAATACATCCTGGAGGGATGGGCAAGCCAACAGACAAGCTAATAAACATGTGAGATAACAGCAGAGAAGACAGGATGATAGATCAGACAAACGGAAGTGGCGGGGAAGAGGCATTTATTTTAGATGAGGTACCTGAAAAGTCTGAGGTGGTGACATGTGAGCAGAGACTTAAAGAAAATAAGTCAAACAGGTGAGAGTAAGACTTCTCTTGGCACAGACACTAGAAAACGCAAAAGCCCAGGGGGCAAAAACATTGGGCATTTTTGAGGAAAAAAAAGGCCAGTGAGGCTGAAATGGACCAACTAGGGCAAGAGTGGGAGGAAGTGAAGAGACCAAGGGGTTAGACCCAGCCTCAAATGAGCCCTACATGCCATCCACGGACTGTGATGGTTTCTAATGTGCCAGGAAGCCAGGTGGAGACTTGGGAGCAGGGAGGTAAAGTGACACGATCATATTTATAATGTGGAGGGTTCACACTGGTGCCTGTGGAGAATGGAAGGTAGGGAGCAGGAAGACCTGCTTCTTTGTGTGGCATATGGATACAGCTCAGCCAAACGAATCGAGAAGTCACACATGCCCTGTGGCCCTGGGGACAGACCTTCTATACTGGTATATTTTGACTGATGTCTCTTTCTCTCTCTCTGTCTGGTGCACCTGCTCCTCTGCACGGTGCTTCTGCTCCTCTGCGCGGTGCTTCTGCTCCTCTGCACGGCGCTTCTGCTCCTCTGCACGGCGCTTCTGCTCCTCTGCATGGCGCTTCTGCTCCTCTGCATGGCGCTTCTGCTCCTCTGCGCGATGCCTCTGGGCCTCTGCCTCAGCCTCTGCTTGACGCTGCTGCTGCTCCTGCTCTTCCCGAAGCTGTTCCTCCTTCAGTTTCCTCTCTTTCTCAAGAATGACCTGTTCCTGAAGCATCTGGGTTTGGTCTTCATGCACACCATGCTCTTGCTGCAGACCTCCCATGTCTTCTCCTGCTCGGGTTCCTTCCCTGTCAGAAGACTTGGACCCTTCAGTCCAGGTGGCTTCCCAAGTGGTGACGGTGGACTCCCGTGTGGTCAGAGAAATGCTGTTTGAGTTTAGGTCCATCAGCTCCTGTGTGGACCAGGGGAAAAGAAACCCATCTCAATCTTCGTATCTCTAATTTCATATGGATACACATATATTCAGATCTAGAGGACATGGCAGTTGGCCAAGAATTCTGCTTGAACAATGTTAAAAGTTTTATCACTACTAAAGGCACACATAGGTGATGGAGATGCTATTTAGAAGAAGCACATAGGTTCTGTTGACATCAGTGTGATGAGGCAGTACACAAACTAGGAGAAAGGATAAAAATGGGCCAAAGCAAAATTTGGCCATCGGACTTCGTTGTATTTTTCAAAGAGCTATGTAGGTTTAATTGTGGCCCAAATGAAGTGGGAGGTGGTATATTTCATTTTTCTGTTAATTTCACCCACAAGCTGAAGAAAGAAGAAAAAGGCATGTCCCCAAAGTACCTCATTCAAGTACTTGGAATTCTCTTGCTCGGCCTCCTGCTTAGCCTTCTGCCATTCCTCCCTCAGTTTTTCCTGCTCACGTTGGTATTTTTCCTGTAGGAAATGATAGAATGTTAATTCATTTTAGTTAATAAATTAATGTGAAAAGAACCTTTTTCATTGGCATTTTTGCTAGCTCTACATTTCACCTCAATCTTTAAAGACAGTGATATTTTAACCAAACAGATGTTCAACAGTAATGAAGAAAATGGCTTATATCAAGTTAAAATGCAGGTGCTGGGAGAGAGGAAGTAGTCAGAACTGAACCAGTATCCACTCTTCCCCATGGTTGTAATTTCTTAAGCCTGGCTAACTGCAAAGGGAACTGGGTAACTCTTTCATAAAATGAGCAGAGTTTATGGGGGCCCAAATATCTCCACTCCTAAAAAATCCACAGAACATAGTGCTACGTACTCTTTAAAAATACATACAGGAGTTAATAAGTACTTTTAAAGGATAATTCTGACAAACTCCAAAATGAAAAATAGTTGTTTAACACAAAATGTGCTCCATATCAAAAGACTTGTTAATTATTAGGTTGTCAGTTTAAAATTTATTTAATTTGCTTCTCAATACTGGTTGGCACTAAGCAAAGAAAAGCAATTCAAACAGCCTGGCTCCATGTAGGTTAGTCTTGCCCACTACTCCCCTTAGGAGTGTATTTCAGTCAATCCATCTGTTCTGCTCCCCACTCTGTCTCTGGTGAATCCTCTCACCCTCTCCTGCCCCTGCACCTCTGGCCTGCACCCCAGCTCTTGTATGCATGAATAAGTAAATCTTAAAAAAAAAAACCCAGAAAACAGCCTGACTCTGCTGATGCACTTGATCCTGCCGTACCTGCAACAGGCGTTCCTGCTCCTTCTGCCACCTCTCCTGCCGCCTGCGCTCCTCTTCTTGATCCCACGCTCGGCGACTTGGGGCACTGAGCGTTGGAACTGGAAGCTAACCAGTTAGCAGAGAAGAGGTACAAATAGAATATATTACTTCATTAAGTGATTAAGTGAAGCATTTTCACATACATAAATTATTCATATCACCCTTGCCTAAATTTTAACAAAGGATATTCAGCTCTATAGTACAAAATAGGTCTCTTTTCAACTTGGAGAGATTACTCTTGGTAAATTTTTTTATGCAACTGAAAATAATGGCAAGTGATGCTACTGTGTGCTAAATTCAGTCCCACCAAGGTCACCTCCTTTATTCCAAAAACAAATTACTACTTACATCAGGAGCCACAGAATCAGAACTTCCTGTATCACAGCATGTACGCAAGGGAGGAAAGAAATACAATGTAAGTCTTTTCATTTACATGAAATAATTCCTTTCAGGAAGTTATGTCACTAGCAGTTTCTATGCCAGTATACTAAGTGACATCATTTTTAAAAACACAGCAGTAAATCATTTTTTCTCTTAAGCACCAACTGTTACTCATTTTCCAAACACAAAGAGAGTTTTTAAAAAAAAGAAAGAAAAAAACCATGGATGCCAAAGGTAAAACCTAGCTTCCAGCAGAGTTGATAAATTTCTAATAATATTTCTGAAGAGGTTTCAGAATCTTATTACTAGACTAGGTAGAACTTCATAGTTTGGTCTAATAGGAAAAAAAAATCACAGGTTCCAACAGCTACCAAATGCAATTTTTTGCTACTATCCAATTACAATGTGACAGCTGCAAGTTACATTTTTCAGATCTTGCTAATGAGTTATTTTTCTTAAATAAGCCAGTAACAAATATGTTCAAGCGAACTTTTCCCTTTTCTCTCCTATTGTTTGAAAAATAATACATAATTTCCGCGTTATGGGAATAGTGTTATTCTTTTTACTCTTAGGGGAACTGTGTATATTTCCATATGTAGTATAATGACTACAAGCAAAAAAGGCAAATTTCATAAAATATAGTATCATACTGTATTTTTAAATTTTCCTGAAACCTCATCTGTCAAATAAGTCACCCAATTATTTTTCTAAGAGAAATACTTTGAGATTTAGGGAAATGTTATTCCCTCAAATAACCCATTAAAGAAAAGTGCGTGAAACTTTCAGTCAGAATAAAGAAAAAGGATTGGGTTACTTTAGCCAATGTGAGCTATGAGTATCACACAGTTTCAATTAAATTATTGTATAAAAAACAGGAATTTAACAAAAAATATCGAAAACATGAAGGATACTGACACAACAGGTTGCACATGTATAGCTGACAATCTGTTTCTACCTATGGTCAATGAGACATTTTCTTTGGCCCAAAGGAAGGTTGTTAAGGAGAGCAACACAAAATATAGAAGTACAGTAAATATGTTATAAGGCAAGTCTGTAAATGTGTTTGATGATTTTAAAAGTAACACTCAGTAACATTTTTGACACCTACAGCACACACCCCTCTTACTGTGCCATCGCATCTCAAATGTTGGGTATTACTTTTAAGTTCTGGGTATCAAAACACAAAGCTCAGCCTGCATTCGTGAGACAGAGCACAGGAGAAACATGAAAGGGGAGGAAATGCCACATGCACAGCACATGCGGGGCAGCGCTGCCCAGCTACACCAACAAGAGTCCCAAAGTGTGCTTGTTCACATGAAGTTTTCATTTATTTCAAAATTGACTTTTAATTTGCTTTAAATTCACAGAGCAGTGCTACCAATACTCCAAAGCCACCATTCCAATGGCAATAAATCTGCTCTCCATTAAAAGCACTTTTCATAGCCAAAAAATTTTATTTTTTGAAAGGTGACCAATTGCATGTTGGTGTAATCTAGTATTATGCAATTTGTAGGAAGCAGTTAAGGCTTAAATGAAAATCATCATTTTTTTACTGTCACCCAGTGGAAAGATGTGTGTATTTAACAGCATCTCAATTTTTTTAATTAAAAGAAAAAAACTTCAGCGCTATAAAAAGGACACACAAAGACCCATTACCACAGAGGTAGACCCATGAACTGTAAGAAAAGCCTGATGACCCTAGGAAAAGAATGGAAATGGGTTATGTTGTTTGGTCATAACGACAGCAAATTGAAGAGACTCAGTGGTCAGGAATACAGACTATCAGCAAGGAAATGAGAGTGGGAACAGTTCTATGAAAGTGTATGAGTTGTTAGCTTCGTGGTTTACCTTGTTCAAAAAATTGTGATCGCCTTTTTAAGTTTTTCAAAGAAATAGGTTCAGATGCTATTTGAAAAATACAAAAAAAAATCAATACCATGTTATCCATTTTAACCTCTCATCACTAGAAAACTTAATACTAAAAAAAAAAAAAAAACTTTTCCATTCTGTAGCAATATTATTTTTTAAATGGCAAAAACAGATAGCTTTAGAAGATAAGGTTTATTTTGATGCACAAAACACATATTTTAGTATTCTGTAATACATTCAAATTAGTAAATGAAACTAACACTCATCTTATACTAATAAATTTTAGCATATAACATCATAGTTTCAAAGAAGCCAAAATACCATCTTTGTGCTAGACTGCACAGATCTAGGAAAATGGAAATTAATATTTTTGCTTAGGCTAATCAACCCCAAGTCTTCTAACACAAGAATTGGTCATAATTAAGTTTTTGCACTATTGAGGAGTTAAAAAAAAAAAGAACTGAAAAATAATATGGAAGAATACAAGGAAGATGAATACCCTGGGGAAGATAAAATAAAAACAATTGTTAAATTAAAATATCCTTCTAACTAGAATATTTTGTTCTAGTTTCAAGATCTTAGTCACTAACTTAAAGTAAAACAAATAGAATAAAGTCAGAAATGTACTTCCACAGATGTCATAAGATTATGACATATGATTGTTATATTCAGTTTAATTCATAAGCTGTAGAAATTTAACAACTTGATACTAGTTGATGCTTACTTATCTAATTGAAACCCTCAAATGACAGGGCCTGCATATAGTCTCATAGTCACAAAGGAGTGAGCTGTCTTTATCAGTTTGCTCTGAGTCACCAGCAGAACAGGACCCGGATGTGATGAAGAAAAAATCCTTTGATAAAGAAAACTCTTGAGATAAAACTCCACTGATAAGTAATGCAATATAAAACAATTAAAATGGAGTCACTTCCAACTATCAGAAACCAAATGCAAAGATAAAGGATGAGAAAGCTATAAACTTGGTTTGGCTTTGTGATATAATTTATTAGGAATGGGCAAATCCTGATTCAAAGCCACCAAACCATGACACACAGTAAAGTTTCAGGGTGAAAGCAGTTTCATCTTCTTTCAGTTCTTTCCCTGCCTCTGTGTACCAGGTCTTTAAGTATTCACACACAGCAGATGGTAACTCAATTATTTATGACAAACAAGAGGAGAAGAGTGATAACCCTTCACATGAAATTTCTCTAGATATGCTGCCTGTGTTTTTATTACAAACAGGTAGTTTTGCTAACAACTGGTACTGGCATTTCCCTATTAATACCAGCTGCTCCCAAGTTTGTTCCTTTCACAACAATCAAGGGGAAAAGGGAAACTTTATTCAATGTTTCATATTTAACTAAGACTTCCATTGCCAACCTACTATAGCCAGAATGCTGAAGCCTCAGGGAAACCAGTCTTTCATATTTGGCTTAGACACATAGACACGACACACATTGCTCCCAGACAAGCTGCCAATGCTTTGTTTGCAGTTCCTGAACTATCTAACACAGGAACCAAATGCCCTTCCACCAGGCTGCAACTGGAGCTGTGTGCTAGCCTTTTAGTTTCAACTTGCAGTGGGTCAGTTTTTCTTTCACCCATAGATACTAATTCTTACAACAGAAGAAATTGAGTGCTACTACTTTTTATCTGCTATAAATGTACATTACATAAGTTGAATGTAAATTAAGGGTGATGATTACCTTTTGAGTCAAAAGTACTGCTTTCATCACAAATACCATTGATTTCTTTGGATTCAGGATTCTGGAATGGATAAAAATGCAAGTTAACAACATTAGCTCTAATTGGACCTGAGTTTACATGATGCATCCCCCATTAAGTGAAAATACCTTAAGATGAGTTTTTCAGGATGTTAATGGACTCCTTACTATCTTTTATATGTAAATGAAATGAATTTTTTTCATTATCCTTTAACATTTGTGGAAGAATGCCACAAGCATGGATAGCTTTTAAGTTTAATCATCAATTTTGCAAGAAATACAATGGTCAAATAAGCATTAGTCCACTTGATTCATTTATGAATAAGCAACAGTCATACAGGATTCTCTAACATTTAAAGTTTTTTACATAATGTAGCAGGATCTCCTTATTAGATAAAAGGGAATTTCATAGGATAACAACAATTATATCTAAAGAATCAATACAAACATATTTGAAAATTTAAATTTAATTATTACTTTGATACTGTGGATAATTACACTATAATTATTTTTAATCAATTAATGTAACTATCTCTTAACCACATATCCAATTCTACCTATCCAAATCACCTACACAAGAACTAAAAATGCTTCATGAGGTTTTAAATTGCACAAAATTACTATGCTTATTTTACCTTTCGTCAAGACTAAAGAAAGCATAGAAAAGTTATAGTGAGTAATTTTATATAATTACTATTTCACATTCACAAAGACCTGAGAGATGAGCATAGTGATAAAAGATTGATAAGAAACATCATGGAATCTTTCGATTCCATTCTATAATTTACTATTACCCTAATAATTAATGATGAATGCCTTATAATTTTCAAAAATATACATTTTACTTATTGCTTTGTTACCTTCTTCAATTATTACTTTAAAGTAGCATCAAAATTGCTCAAATGAAATTCTCCCACACACACACACAAATTTGCTCTACACAAATATTCCCATTTCTCAAATTACTTACTGAATTCTGAAGGCTTTCTGAGAAATCAGTTGAAATTGACAGACTGGAAGACTTGCTGGAGTTGTAAATTCCAGAAGTTGTATCAATCCACTTTGTTTCAGGTGAACCTATAATTTTGGTAGCCATACTGGTGAGATTGAGGGTTTTATGCCGTGTAAATGGCAGGGAAGGTTGGTCTTTGGCCCAGTCTGATTGGCATATGAAGATCAAGAAATGAGCACACATAAATGTTGAAGTGGAAATAAAAAAGTTACTGGCTGCACATATATAAAATACACACAAGCAAGACAGACAAACAAATCACATGGTACATGAAAGAAGTTGAGAGTGTAGGCCTTTAGCCAAAGACCACCTTCCAAAAACACTGGGTTAGAGGATGTTAGTGATGAAAAGACTAGCAAATCTGCTGAATATTTCTGCAAACCAGGACTAGATATTCTATTCTGACATCCAAAGTTGGTAGGCCTGAGGGGGTTTAATGCCCTTTAGCATCAAACCTCAGTAACTACAAAACAATCATGGAATGAATACTGAAATTTCAGTGAGAATAAATAGGAATATGCTCTACCACATTCTCTCTTACAACAGCAAAGTGAGGGTGCCATAGGGAAATTTAAATCAGTGCAATTTTTAATACCTGACATTATTTTATGACTCCCAAGTGCAGATACAATTACAACTACCTGCAGTTGATATTTGCATTCAAAGTCAGTTTAGCATATAAATCAGTCAATAAATGCAAAATTCAGTAAATTTGCTAGTGAAAAGTTTTCAGACAGAATAGCCAAGGAAATATCACTCAAGATTTATCTCAACATAACCACAAAACATTTTAAGCCAAAAAACAAACTGAAAAGAAAGTTATTGAAGCAAGCTGTTATAACCACCTGCCAAAGACCAGTTCCCAATTTAGAAAGCCAGACACAGTGGTGAAGACGACTCACCAGACTTTCCATGGCGTCTGATATCCATTACTAGGTTTCCAGTTTCTTGAGCATTAGCCATGGTTTCTTCCCACTCTTTTGTGTCCTTATATGAAAACTTGGTGTTGTTAATAGCAATAATTTCATCATCTACCTGTAGCTGAGAAAATTCTGCTGGGCTACCTAAATGGAGCAAAATAAATGAAACAAATGTTTTAAGCCCAAATGTTCTACTAGTCATAGCTTAAGAAAAGGGACTTCTTAATATGTGAAATGAACCATCTCATATGGAGAGGGTCATGAAATCTTTGTTATCAAATATTTGAGCATCAACAACACAGAAAACACCAAAGGCAATTTTTATTCTACAGTATGTATCTTCATGGACATTTAAAATTTATTAACCTACTAAATACAAAGATAGTTCATTTTTAAAAGAAAGAAATGTGAAATATATGGCACTTCCATTGAAATTCAAATCTAAATGCACTCTGAAATGGAGAAGAAAACAGGGTTACTCCAGACACAGCAGTTTGGAAATTTCAAAGAAATAACCAGTTAGCATCCAATTTTACATAGCTAAAATACATAAAGGAGGAAATCCTCTTAAATACGATAGATTTCATTTTAATTTGCAGCCTTATGGTGACATTTTGCTGAGTTTTTGACCTTGACTTGATATGATAAGCCTGGTGGGGGGGCGGGTTAGTGGAATTCTTCTCCAAGTATCCAAAAGCATCCTGAGGACTTCATGGGTAACAGATACAAAAGATACAACAGAACTTCCATTTATTAGACAACATGTATATCATAAACAACTGACCATGGAAAGTTTTTTCACAATCTTCTATTACGAGCTATTTGCTAGCATTTCCAAATACTCAGCTGAAGCTTTTGACAAATGAATTCTATGAAAGTCACAAAACTAAGACTCTTCAAAAAAAATTAATCAGGCAAAGGAGAACAAACAATATATACTTTGTAACCTCAAATATTAATTCAGAGAAGAGAATGCATCTCCTCTCACTAACTGCTGCATTTGTCATCTAATTTCAAATAAACTAATTTCAGGCCTGTAGGGGGGATTACCCAGCATAGGCTAACAAAACAGAAGAAAGTTCCATGATTTACCTGCTTGGACGGATGCTACGAAGATGCCGGAAAAATCCCATCTTACTGTAAACCCAAAGTCAACACTGTTCCCAGGTGTCTGGTTTATGCTGATTCTCATATCACTGAACTGATCCTGGAAACAAACACGAAACGGTGGGATCAGGTGTCTCTGGCAGCCACATGGAGGAAAGTCTATCCATGAAAGAAGGGGGGCTGCATGCAAGGCACCCTTGAATTATTACACGATAAACCAGCAACTTCATTCTTGTTCCCTTGTGTTTGGAAAAACTCATTTACATAAAAATCACCACATTGATTATTTTTATGCTATAATAAGGTAGCTGTAAGCCAACAGATGTTTTTCTTCACATTAGTACTATCACACAGTTGGCCACTGATAAAGTTTAGGGTTTTGCGCTACACAAGAGGGTCTAATTTACAGGCCTTTTTTATTGCTTAGGATGAAAGTGAGTAATTAAACCATTTTTTGAAATACCTGAAATTTATATAATGTTAGAATGCAATGCCACTTCAATATAAATAACAATAAAATGCAGCCCTATTTGTCAAAAAAGCTACATTATTTAACAGATTTCTCTGAATTCTCAAGTTCATGGACACAAACCCAGCTGCCAGCAGGGTCATCTAGGACTGGCACTGCCTTCAATGGGCATCAAATGTTGACCAGCCACTTTTGCTGGCTCCATTGACGAGTGATGACCTCGTGGGAAAGGCAGAGCTGCTAACAAGCTTCACAATGTAGAACTATGTCATCCCTGAAGAACCCCTGTAAGGAGCCAAGAGGTCCCTCCTGAGACACAACTACTTCCTTGAAGCAACATCAAGGATCCACAAACAAAGCCTCCCGGACAATGGACAGAACTCTGCTGCCATCTCCTCACTAAGCTACACGGCAACAAATTCAGTTTTACAGACATTTTAAAACCATTTTCCAATATGTGTTTTAAGTTTTACAGCATATGTCTGTGAACATTTTTTTGCAATTTTTATTTATTTTTTACACTGTTATATACATTTTTGTGCAATAAATGAATAGATTCCAATAAATCTTCCGCCACATCACCTGTTAACCATCACCATAGTCCCTTCTGCTCTTCCCCACATCCCCTGTTTTGTATGTCTGTGAACATTTTAATTATCTTCCATAACTTATGTTTAGGGTAAGCAGCATTTTAACGTAAAGGAGTTTCCCAGACTAGTGTTTTAATTCTTTGATTCATAATCATGAAGAATGCAGAGTGAACTGGTTTTTTTTTAAAAAAAAATTATCTAAAAGTCATTTTATTTTCCAGAAAAAGACCTACAACTTCTCCACTTTCATTTGTAAGTTAAATCCCAAACCTAGGGCCAACTGGGCAATTTGTAAAAACTTTATACCTAAGTTTTTCCAAGTTTAAAATCTAAGTGAAAATATTCTGATAGAAACTGTGACATTACACAAAAATCAGAAGAGACTGTTAAACAAAATTATTCACTTATTCATTTAGACAACTTGCCTTTGTTGCCTGGCTACTCCAGTAAGACACAGTGCTTCGCACTTTGGGAAACAGAGGTGGCCTGTTATCTAAAGAAATAACTGATGGCTTCCCTGGTGGGGCAAGGGGTTAAGCACAGCACTGTGAAGCTATCCACAGTCTCTGCAGCCCGAGTTCGATCCCCAGCCAGCCAGGGAGCTATACACATGGTGCAGCAGACCTCTCCTGTCTCGCCAGCTGCTCCCCTCAGCAGTGTACTTTGGTCAATCGGCCTGTTCTGTTCTCCACTCTGTCTCTGGTGAATCCTCTCACCCCCCACACCTCTGGCCTGTACCCCAGCTCTTGTATGCATAAATAAATCTTAAAAAAAAAAAAGAAAGAATTGACTGCTCAATGGTGAGCATGAATTTGTTTGGTTTTTCAAGAAAAAAAATGTAGCTAACAATATAGAATAGTGTCCATCAGAAAACTGACAAGGCAGTTTAAACACAGGAAACCCAGATACAGGTAGTGAGAACACATTAATAACCAGCCTGCTCAACAACAATCTCCAGAACATAATAAACTCTGCTATGAATAGAAAAAATGACTGGTTAGTTCTATTCCTTAACCAAAACCACCAAACACTTAAATTAGAAATGACTCAATGAAAATAAGTGGTTATCTTCACCACTCTTATCCCCCATCCAACAGAAAAAAAAATCTATCTTAAAATGCAAAATCTATTGCTAATGAGGGCAGAGAGACCAAAAATGGGTTAGCTATTCAAAACACGAAGTGAGATTGTTTTCTCTTGAATAAATAAAAGGAAGGAGTTTTAATAGCCTCATACTACATAAAGAATACTCTGTGGGAGACAGCAAGTGAACATTATCCTTTATAATAAATACAGGATAGGAGAGAATGCATTTAAGTCATAAATGGAAGAGTCTCACATTTTGATTCATCCAGAATTGTCCCACGGAAGGCTGTTCTTCCTTTGGACATAGAGAAATTAGATAAGAAGGCAGACAACCTCCTCTCTGGAAGAGTTAAGTAGCCTGGCCAACTGACCTGACCCTGGGGCTGCCCACAGACAAGGAGGAGGGAAACTTGCAGGCAGTTATGAGTCCACTGATGTCAACTGCCGAGATGTCATTGAGTCTGCGAGAACTTTCTCTCTCCCAAAAATGCTTTTCAGTTTTTTTCAAACCCAATGAAATTCACATGCAAAGCACCTCCTTCCCAAAGCAGCATATAAAAGAGATTAAAGTAGGTGGCTATAGCTTCAAGATTGTGCCCTCCCTCTATGGCCCTCCCTCAGGCATCTCAGTGGAATCCCTGTAGATAGGGAAACCTATCTATAATCATATTTAAGGATAAACTATTCAATTATGATTTCAGTTATAATTCTTACTTCCTTCTGTATCTCTTCAAGGTCCATACCACCTGAGTAGTCTACAAAGGCTCTATGCTTCTGGAGAAAATGGGGTAATTGGCTTTTTAACGGAATAGAATCAGAAAATTGGCGGAGGGGGAGACCTAGATTCTTGATGACTGATAAAAGAATTATCCCAGTGGTATCAGCTATGCCAGGAAAGAAAATATTGGTAACTATAAGCATTTAAAATAATATTTCCCTTCAAATTAGGTATGATTTCAACGATGTACACACTACAGGTTGTGATTTTTAAACAAGAACATCATGACCTGCACTAGCAATGGTAAGACTTATTTTTATGAGAACTGATCTTAACTCATAAGATTCTCAGTCACTACAAATGAGAATGAATGAAAACAGTCCATCTTAAGCACTAGGTATTCTCAAGTTTTTCAATTATGTAAATGTTTTTCCTTAAAGGGTGCCTATTTAAGTTGATAAAGTTAACTAAAATGCTAAAAGAAAACTCATCCTGTAAAGTCATAAGTAACAGGAAGTATATCTTTGATTTTTGCACATGATCCTTTAGTGTCCTTTTTTTTATTTCCAGCTTCTGTGATGAGCACATGAGGCAGGCTGACGGTCATCTCCTCAAGTCCGTCATTCATTCTCCCACTTTCTCGTGCCTTTCCCTCCTTCCTCCCCTCTCCAGCCACTCCTCCATTTCATTAGCGTGTTCTTCTTCTTTCTGTGCTCTCTTCATTATTACTTTCCTCTGGTGAGCACCCCTTCTTTTTGACTACATGCTTTCCTGAGTGACCTCATTTACTACTTTGTCTTCAACCACTAACTCCAATGTATCTAAAATTAAATTCATTATCTTGCCCCAAACCTGCTCCTCCACCTCTTGTTTTCATATATTGGTTAATTACATCATGATTTAACCAGATGCCCAACTAGAAACACCAGGTACCCTATTCCTTTCTTCCTCTAGCTGTTCCCCAACCCACTCTCCACACACAAAAATGCATTAGTAAAGTGTTTCCAAGTCCGAAATCCAGAATTCCATCCTAAATCACCTGCCTTTCCATCCCCTTTCAGGCTATCATATCACCTTAGTTTAGGCTACAGTCTCTCTAAACCACTCCAGTCACCTCTGAATTCACTCTCAGGCCTCCTACACTTTTTTACCACCATCTACCACACAGCTGCCAGAACTTTACTACAGAACATGCTGATTATTACACCACACCCTGTTTTAAAGTTGTGGGTAGCTCCTTCCTGCCTCCCTGCCTATGGGAAAGCTGTCAAACTACATTTCAGAAATAGATTCAGTTCTGTTATGTATCAGTAAATATATAGCTTTCAATGAAATAATTTTAAGAATGGTTTTATCTTTATGAACAAGAATGTATTTCCATCCCCATTGGCCTAAAATTCAAAAGACACAGCAAACTTAGAATAAGTCAACATCTGGTGTTTTAACTATAAGGCAGCTCTCAATTCTGAGCATGTCTTATTTCAAAAAAAATTAGGGTTAGAGAAATTGCAATTGTGGCCTCAGCATTTAACCAGCCTGGGGCAAATTATATAACTTTCAAGTCTCAAATTTTTCCTTGGTAATAGTGGGAATAATACCACCTACTTTGCAAGGTTATTGAGAGGATTAAGTGAAGCATTTCAAAGGTGCCAAGGAACATGGTTGATGCCCAGTAATTACCTCCCTTTTCCCATGGAAACAACATTATACATGGTATAGATGCAAGCTAAGCAGTTTCCAGAGCAACTGAAGAAAATCCTATTTAACTCACATCTACTTAGATCTAAGGCTAATAGAACTTAGTCAGCGTTCCACAAACAGATCCAGGAACTGTGCTAGCGGAGAACGCAAGCTTGCTCCCACCCTCACAGAGAGGAGGGGCAGTGAAGGTGACAAGTAAAACGCATGGGCTGCTGGTCAGCCTGGGGGTTTAAAGAGGCACACTCCTAGACTTGGGCATGAGGAAGTGGACACGGGAAAACCTTCTTTCCTGTCATGTATGTCATCCTACTTCTGGGATCTGCTTTTAAAAACCTGGGGCAAAGGTACAGAAATATGGACCTGGCTAAGGTTTGAGAAAGGCTCTGACAGGACAGAAAAAAAAAAAAAAGAAAGAAAGAAAACTACAGAGCAAGAACCAGCCAGAGGTAAGTCATGAGAGCCACATGGGTGAGGCAGATGGAGGAGGTGAAGGACTCAGGGAGTCACAATCGCTTGCTTGGGGTCACCCCAGAATTGCTCTGACAGCCTGAACTGGCAAGTAAGTTAAGCAAAGGAGGAACAAATACCTCGAGAGAATAAGGGAAGAAAGAAAATGGGGAGGAGTGAAGCTCTGTCCACAGTGGGAAGGGGAATGACATGCCTGGGGTGCATCTGAAATGAGTTCATATTAAGTTTGCATTCATTACGCCTTTCCTTCTCTACGGCATGTAGCACCTTATCGCAGTTCTGAGACAGGTCTCCAGCCTGGCTCTGTGTTCCCCACCCCAAACTTTACTTCCTTAAAAACAACTCTATGTAACATCACAGTTGACCTTCTTAAAACATCCCTCAATCTTAAACATTTTCCCACATCAAGGGACCTATAAGGACCTAAATTACCTGCTGGATCAAGTTCATTCTTTAGTAATCAAGGCCTTAAAAACAACTCAAGTCAGCAAGTACTCAAGTGCCAACTATGTACAAAGACCTTGGAGGATGTAAAGAAGTCCACTGGGGGGAAATATTTCATTTGAACATATGGAACATGGAAAAAATCATCAAGTGAAACTTTCAAGCGTAAAAAGTTCAGTTCCAAAAAGCAGGAGGAGATAAAAAGACAGATGGGTGAAGAGAACATTTTTTCAATCAGGCAATAACAAGAACAAATATATAGGCTGTTTTCCAGAAAAACCAGCAGTCTTATGGCTGAAACATCTATTTCTCTTCTCTTACCCGAGCAGAGTGAGGAGCCAGACTGCTAGAGTCAAATCCTGTATGGATTTGGAAAAATAACATAACTGCTCCATGCCTCCATTTTTGCAACCATAAAAGAGAAAGAGCAAGCTTTCTGCTAATGTAACAGGGTCACTGAGAATGAACAAAGTCAATACTCTAGGAAGCCTGGTTTTCACATGGTAAACCCTCAGACAATTACAAAGGGGGTTTGGGACAAGCCCCAAGTGGTTTCAGTACACCCCTGAATGCTTTCCTTCATTCAACAGATCAAAGTGTGCCACTGGAGGCTTTGGAGCAGAGAAATTATGAGTCCAGCCCGGCATCAGGCAATTTAATCTGATGCCAGGTCTGTGTAGAATGTACAAATACATGTGACCATTTATGAAACGCCTGCATTGATGGAGAAAGGGATTGAATTGGGGGAGTGGAAGCACATATGGGAGAGATCATCACCAAGGGAGATTCTGGAGGAAGAAATGAAAGGACATGGCCAGAGAAAAAGTTTTCTGTTCTGTAAACTACAATTTTTGAGTTCATCCAAGAGTTCGGAGGAGTTTGCATATGGCCTTGATTTATGCTTCATCAGCTATTTTGTGCACTCACATCCCTCTTCCCCAGTCAGCAAGCTCCTCAGCAATGAGGGCAGGACACCCAGCTCCCGTCCTCATTCTGTAGAAGTAAACATGCCAAGCTCTCTGGAATAGGCAAGTCACAATGACATGCACTTCTGTTCAAGAATGCCAATGACTCCACTTGCCAAATAAAGTCTTATTTGGCTTGGTGAATATTATTTTAAGTTTGGTGGCAAAGAAGCATTAAATCTATGAATGATGAAACTGAAACTATGTCATGCTAATTCAGGTTCCTCTGAACTGCAATAACCTGGAACACACCCCACACCACACTTAGCCTCTTTTACTTAATCCAAGGTTACAGCTACGTCAGCTGCCACCCCCAGGGAGTTACCACCAACTAGCACACAATATACTGTTTTGCTGGATTTGCCGTTTGAAAAGGTGAAGGCAAACATACAAGTCCATAAAACAAGACACCTTTCATATGTTTTAATTGTTCATTCACTGATACCTTGTGTTCCAAGTATAACATAGGCTATTGTCCTCACCTACTGAAACTTAATATGCTAGCTATATATTCCCAATTCTTTAGATATAACACAAAAAAAGGTATAAATTTCAGAAAACTGAAGAAGCTGTTTTCTGATATATGTTTGTAAGCATGCATGGCAAAAAAATGGAAAGAAATGTTAAAAAGATCATGTCTAAATAAAGGGATTATGAGAGATATTATATATACTTTCCTACCATTTCTAAATTTTCACAAGCACATAGTACTTTATAATCAGAAAAAGTTTACTCTAAACTTGTAAAGCTTTACTGCACTAATTAAGCTCTGAGGATACTGAATAAATATGCCATGTCAAATCATTTCACAGTTACTCATTAATATAATATAGGTCAGGTTATACACTTGACATTGTACCTTGAAAACAAATACACTCTAGTCAAGCACCAGAGGATGCTAACTAAGCCAAAGAACCACGCAAGAAAACTCACCTATGCTAAGGGATTCGTGCAACTAATTGCTTAACAAGGATTTTTCTAAAGACTTTCTGTTCCCTAGACAACCAATGACTTTTTAGCCAACATGCAAAATTCAGTAAAAGAACATTCATTACCCAATAATTCTCTTAAAAGGCTACAAATGCTCCCAGTCATTCTTCGTGGTGGTGTGGTTTTTTTTTTGTTTGTTTGTTTGTTTTTTTGTACTCTCAGAGTTAAGGAACACAATGGTGATACTGTAACTAAGCATCATATTTCCATTAAGAGACAAGGAGTGGGACAATATTCTTGACATTCTAAAGTGTAAAGTTAGTATTAAAAGTCACAGGAAGGTTGATATGAGAAAGGATTTCCATGCCCCTAGAGAACTGTACCTCTGATATGGACCAATTTCTCTTTATGGTCAGTTAATTTCCATGACAGCAGAGAGAGCAGATTGTAGTGCTCATTTAATTGTTAGCCCTACATCAATAAATGGGACTATGGGCAAAGGTGGTTTGGTGGAGGGAGAAAAATTTTAAAGATTTTTTTTAAAAGAGATACAAAAAAGATAATTTTTTTAAACATGAATGCTTAAATTAGGCATTTGTGCTTAATTCTCTCGATGAAACTGGCTTTCTAATCCTGTATTTCCATTAATCCTCAAATGAGCATCATTGTGTTAAAAACAAGAAGGGATAGAAAAATTAAAAATTAATACTAATTTCCCACATGACTCCTGCACCTGAAATCAAGAACTGCTGAGCACTGGTATAAAGCAAGAGCTACCAAAACAGGGAGTAGAGGAAAAAAACAGCCAAATCCAAAAGATTGGTCCAAAAAGTCTCAATACACACACATCACAAGCATTATCTCCATCTGCAAGATCAACATTGGAAGAGAACTATTTCCTCCAAGAGCTGTTTAAAAATGAGATACAATATTATTTTACACATTATCACCATCCAGACTAATACCTGGAAGGTTAGAAACAAGGTTTCTAGATTTAAATAGTTACAGCTTTCAAAAGCAAACAGAGCTATCTCAAACTCACCTGTGATGGTGAGACCTCTCTCTGGGGTGAGCTGCTTCCTGCTCCAGACTCAGACATCAAATCCAGGCCAGATGTTGAGGACAATGTGGCTTTAGAAATGGCAGCTTGGTCGTGGGAGAGAGATGAGGAGGAAGGTGTAGGAGAAGGTTCCCTCTTCACATCCTCTTCTGCTGCCTCTCTGTCCGTGGCCAAGCTGGAAGCCTGCTGGCTGGGGTCAGGTTTTTGCATAGAGGTGCTGACCGAACTGCTTTGAATTCTCTTAATGCTCTCTATATCTCCATTATACTTCCAAGAATCATCCATCTAAATAGGAAACACCATTTTAAACATTGTATTCTTCATCCATCTAAACAGTAAATATCATTTTAAACTTTGTATTGCTAGTCCCACTTCTCTTTTTAAAATGTATATGTATTTTAAAGATATAAAAGTAACATACCTCCCTAAAAGCTTGGAGCATATTCTTTCACTCCACACCATGAATGTTGACAATTAACTGATTAGACATTGTACTTGATAGTATTTAAACCTTTCTGTAACATGCAAAAATACTGCAGGCAACACCCCTGTTTCTTTATGATCAGAACATTTTCTATAACCTATATTCCCCCAAAAGAAGACTTGCTGGATCAAAATCACAAAGATATCATCTCACACCTGCGAGAATGGCCCATATTAAAAAGACCAGAAACACCCATCGGTTAGAGTGTGGAGAAAAAGGAATAGTCTTCCTATACCTTTCCCAGCATAGGTCAACTGTAGACTGATCCAACTCCTACGGAAACAGTATAGATGTTTCTCAAAATATTAAAAATAGATTTACCATATGATCCAGCAACTCCACTCCTAGATATACACCTCAAAACTGCAAAAACACAATTCAAAGAGATACACGCTCCTATGTCACTGCAGCACTGTTCACAACAGCCAAATGAGAAAAACCACCTAAGTGACCAAAGACAGATGAGTGGATAAAAAAGATGTGGGACACACACACAATGGAACACTACTCCGCTATCAAGAAGATGAACTCTTGGGCCTCCCCTGGTGGTGCAGTGGTTGAGCTCTGGGCTGCAAAGCTGCCCGCGGCCTCTGCAGCACCGGTTCGATCTCCGGCCACCGGTGAGGGTCCCACATGGCGCGCAGACCTCTCCTGCCACGCCCGCTGCTCCCCTCAGCAGTGTACTTCGTCAGTCTGCCTGTTCTGTTCCCCGCTCTGTCTCTGGTGAATTCTCTCACCCTCCTGCGCTTCTTACTGTACCCAGTGCTTGTATAAATAAATCTTAAAAAAAAAAAAAAAAAGGTGATGAACTCTTGCTATTTGCAAAAATTCTATGGAACTGGAGAGGATTGTGCTCAAGAAAATAAGTCAGAAGAGAAAGACAAATACTGAATGATTTCACTTCTGTGCAATATAAAGAAACAAAACAAAGAACAGACAAAATGAAATCAAAGCAAACCTAGACATCTGACTGTGGAATGAAGGCTTCCAGAGGGGAAGGAGAACGGGTCTGGGACCAGTCAACTAAAACAGAGGATTATTGGCGCTTCTTTGGGCTGGTGAACATGGTGTGTGGTAATAAATATCTGAAGAGGTGTGGATCTATAACCCTAAATTATATATAGTATTGTGAACCAACATTACCTCCACAAAAAAAGATAGACCAAAGAATATGGATACATGTGTGTACACACACACCAACACACACACCTGTTTTATATACATACACATATATATCTTATATATTTATATAAATTTATATCTCATATATACCTCAAAAAAAAAAAAAAAAACCTGTAGCAATCCACTCCCCAACGTAATGTCAAAGAAATGGCTGTTCCTTTGGCTCCTTGCCAACATCAGGTATTTTGAATGTTTTCAATCTTTGTCAATCCAAAGGGTAAAATGTTGTACACCTCATTTGTGCACTGAGGTTGAACATGCTTCTGTGTGCTTTACGTTATCAGTCATTTAAATTCCTTCTCCCTTGAACTGGCTTTTCATTTCTATATCCATTTTTCTATTCACATTTTCCTTACCAATTTGTAGGATCACCTTAAATCTTAGGAATATTAATCTGATACCTATAATACATTTTACTAATATTTTTCTGAATCTATGAATTGTGGATTAGGTTAATAATATCTGTCACAGACTTGATATTTATGTCGTCAAGTATGTCTATATTTTACTTACTTTAGGAATTTTCTGGCTACTTTAGGCAGATTTTTCTCACCTTGAATTTTTTTTATTATTTTTTTAAAGATTTATTTATTTTTGCATACAAGAGCTGTGGTACCGGCCAGAGATGCGGCGGTGGGGGAGGGGTGTGTGTGAGAGGATTCACCAAAGACAGAGTGGGGAACAGAACAGGCAGATTGACAGAAGTACACTGCTGAGGGGAGCAGTGGGCGAGTCAAGAGAGGTCTGCTTCGCCATGTGGGTTGCTCCCTGGCCGGACAGGGATCAAACTCGTGCTGCAGTGGCTGTGGATAGCTTCATAGTGCTAATATTTAACCCCTTGCACCACCAGGGAGGCCTTCACCTTGAATTTTTAACCAGACCTTTTTTCTTCTAGGTTTTAGGATTCTACATTGCCAGAGGTAAAAGGAATTTGGGCATTGATCTCAAAATTCTACTAATACAGTAATATTGTCTAATACTTTATATAATTAAAATTAATACACCAGCTTTCCAGGACCAAACATCTCAATTTGTATGAAATAGGAAAAATGTTAATTACACAACACACCTGAAAATATTCAGGTGGAACCATATAAAATTGCTCTTCTATAGGTCAAAAACAACTCACTATTGGTAATTTCATATTGGTCAACCTAATCCTTCACAAAGACTACATTTGAGACAAAATGACACTAAAAAAATATTCTACCTCATACTGCATTTTATTCATTTTCTAAAATGCATCAGCCCTACCTTCCTTGAACTGAAAGCATGATTGCTGTATTTTAAACATCAAATTGGCTAAAATGAATTGTTTTCTATATATTATGTACATTTTACCCATCAAGTATATAACTCAAACCTCCACATAAATTCACTGACTTTTGTTCTTGAAACAGACTAAATGAACTGGGGACATTTTTACCGTGTAGGATCTCGGGAGTGATGAGATTCCCCTTGACTGAGCGCCAAAAGGTCTCGGTGTGACCACAGATGTTAACCTGGCTGTATCAGTTTTCTGGTAACTTCTGGGGAGAGAAGCTGAAACTCGAGTCGACTCCATTTGTTTGCTCAGGGAATGCTGAGAAGACAAAGAGACTGGGCGTTGTTCCTCCACAGGACTTTTAGAAGGAAGCTGAGTTTCAGCTCTGAGAGTGTCCTCCCCTTTTGCAAAACTTGAAGACTCTGGTTTAGGAACTTCTGTAGGATGACTTGTTTCTTCCTCTTCCACTCTCTCACTCTGGTTACTTGTTTCTGACATAGTCAACGTAGGGGGAAGAATTTCTTCAGTCAGTACCTCATCACAAGAATATGTTCTGCTCCTAGATATCACCGTTGACATTTGACTTCGGGAGTCCCTTAGCAGAAAGAAAGGCACCAGAACCACACAGTTATACTTGACACACACCAGGGAAGAGAATGATGTTCTTTTGATAATTAACATAAAGTGGACTGGGAATTTAAAAAAATACTGTTTTCACAAATCAATAAAGTATTAACCAAATATAAAGATATTTTTAACCAAGATGTGGATTCTTTGGCAGTGTTGTGAGCTTTTCTACTGTAGACAATTTATAATTATTTCTTTTTCTTTTTTTATTTTAATTTATAATAATTTATTAAAAATGAAAAACCAAGGCTCAGACGAGAGTCAAGCTTCCATTAAGATCAAGTCAGTATATGATTTTATAGAGCTTGATAGAATTCCCAGATAACTGTTAACTGTTGTCACCATTAGTACTTACGGAAAAGCTGGTGGAACAGCCTCACCTCTACCATTCAGTAATAGTAACTGTGTTGCATTCAGGTGAATGAACTGTGTTTACCATAGGCTTCCAGGCCACAGAGGAGCTCTGTTTTTCACCTAACAGCACATTCCCTTGTGACATTATCCATAAATCATATTTGCCTTCTCCTAACCTGTAAATACCCCAAGGTTTCCCATAGCAGTTGCTCTGCAGTAATGTTTAAATTTGACCTTTATTTTGTTATAGCGTGATGAAAAGCATAATCACTCACATTTAGATAGACTTCCTTTAAAATAGTTTTAATTGTACCATGAAAACATGAAAAAGAACCTTACATTGTATTTCAGATAATTTAGTTAAGAATGGGAGCTGGTAACACTTGATCACTCCATCCCTTAACATACTTTAAAAGGAGGAAAACTGGCTTATTTTCTGCACCAAACATAGCCAATAGCACTTACATCTGCATATAAATATACAATATAAAATGAGGAAATAATACACACCTATTTTGAGTACTCATTTCTTTGTTAATACATGTCACTGTTACAGTAATACTTTGCTTTTCCCTACAGAGCAAAATGCAGGAACTTCCATTGCTAATTTGGTGAGAGTTTAATATAGTAAACACTTTGTCACACTACTACACTTACACGAAACAGTTCTAACCCAGGTGGTCTCCAACCGTGAGATGCAGTCAGCCCAATTACCTGTCCTGCTGCATTTCCTTAAATGTCTTAGAGCTCCGCTCAGACTTCTCGAGTGCCTGCTTTTCAATTTCTTCCCTCTCTTCTTTTTTCTTCTGCAGATCTGAAGTGTAGCTTTTTCGACGGTCTTTCCATTTTGCAAGGTCCTGATGGAAGAAAATCACATCAGCACAGGGCCTACCTGAATTTCTACACACCCCTTCCAGGAGTGAGCGTGCCAGAGTATCCCATTACATAGCTGAAACTATTCACTCCAACTTGATGCCAAGGTGCCCTAATTTTGCTTTTTATAGCCAGCGTTTCTGTACCAAGCCTTTATCTCATGTGTCTGTCGAAAAACCTGACCTAGTAAGATAGACCCCATTTTGTTTTCCCAGAAAGTGCCTGCCTCACTGCCCATTTCACAGAGAATGCTAAATGCTGGTAATTGGCTGTCGGGTCAGAAAGATCAGGGACTGTCTCAAATTCATTTTCATCTCTCATTTTCATCTCATCTGGCTGTTATGTAAAATAACAGTCTCACTAGTAAGGCTGAAACTGAGACTTGATTGTAACGGTTAAGTATAAGATGCTCACTCATGCTTTATTTTAACCAACATAAGCTCAATCCCCAGCCTGGAGGCAAGGGGACTGGAGCCACACAGAGCATTCACTGTGGTTCCTCCCATCAAGGAACTCTCAGTCTGGAGGTAAAGAACAGACTTGAAAATAAAAGTTCAACAATGGGTGCATAGGAACACACAGGAGATGGGGGTTGGAGGCAGAGAGGTCAATGCCACCCTGGGTAGGGAAGGCTGGACTGGAGTTTGTGACTTCAGAGCAGGTAGACTTCCCGTAAGAAGCATAAGTCTAATCTCGCTGGGTGACCCCAGGGCAGTCAACTAATACAGCTTTCAACTAAACATACTAAGCTGGTTCTGACACCCAGAGTATAAGACATTCTGGATGGTATAAACTTTTCTCTATCTCCAACACATGGATATTCCATGCTAAGAACTGCTAATGACATTTCAGTCCAAACAGAAGCCTATCCAAGGTCTCACACTACACTTAAGTTGGAATTATATACTTTGGCTGTAGACAGGGCCACTGTCATATTTCTTGTTCTCCCCAAATATTTAGAGCTAAAAACCCTTTTCATCTTTCCCTACTGATGCCAAATTCTGTAATGGAACCCTTATCCCCCTACTCTACCTAAACTTTGAGCAAAGTTTCACAGCCACATACTCAAAATTCAGCCACCAAGCAAGTAAACAAATTAACTGTCTTACAAGGAAGCAACTTCACAGAACACTAGTAAATATTCAATTACATTTTTCACTGTGGTTATTAAAATATAGTATAACAGGCCAATAAGGTTTAAAAATCTCAGCAAGAAAATGATATTTTCTAGAGAACTGAATTCTGTAATAGTAAGAAAAATCTCCAGTGTACTGACTTTAAGAAAAGCCAAGAATTTCCCAGTCTTGCCAGCCCCCAATCCAGAGAATACTCACATCCTGCCATTTCTGATCTTGTTCTCTTAGTTGCGATTTAATTTTCTGCATCTCCTCGTAACGCAGCTGACGCAAGTTCTGCTCATCCTCTGCACTGACATCGCTCATGGACTTGCTCCTGCGACAAAGACACCCATAGCAACCGAGGCTCAATGAGCAGGTTCGGGGTGGAGACTGACAGGTTGGACTTATATTTGGAAATTCCATCTAAATTTCTGCTGTACTATCCACACACTTCAGTGATATCAAAGAAATAGCACTACAGAGATAAATGGTGTTTTTCCAAAACGCAGAAACAAAAGCCTAGCACTCAGGTGTGAATTATTTCAGAAAATGGCTATGTGAACCCTGCACATGTCTGAAATCCGTAACCAATGTTCACATTTGAGGTTGCCCCTGCATCAAAGGACTACTTTAGAAAGAAATAACTAATAGTAGACTAGAATCATCTGTCTTTATTTTTACATGTCCCTCAAAGATAATCTTTTAAGGTTTGGCTGCCTTTTCTGGGTACTTATTAAATAATTTAATGATTACCTGATATTTTCTCCTCAAATTCAATACCATGAGTAAATGGGCGGCTACTTCTCAAGGACTGTAAGGTCTACCTGCCATTGCACTGGGCTTGTTCTCAACCCCATAGGTAGTATCAATAGCCAGTGATAACATAACAACCTTCAGACCTGCTTTTTTTAAATGAAGGCAGATTTCATGTCTCCAATGTCTGTAACCCCTGTCAGACATATGTACTGAGGATTAGCTCCCCAAGAACTCAAACTAGACTATAGGCCAATGTGTGTGTGTGGGGGGGGTCAATATGCAGTACATTTTGCTGTGTATATGCACAGAGAAGAGGATAGTGAAAACTGGAGAAGGGGGGACTCCTCGGAAAGGGAGCTGTCAGATCTGAATGTTACAGAGCAGGTAAGAAAGATAGAGAGGGCACTTTTGAAGCTGGTGTGTCCAAAGGCTCCTTCCTACAGATCTTCCATAATACACTTCTGATTTTATTTCACTTAACTAATTCTACTTTGTAAGTAATATAAGCAACTCGAAATCTCCTTCTTGAGCCCCTTAACCTCACCTTCCAAGGTTTTGTCATTGCCACATTTCTTTGAAAAGATGCTTTCGTTTATTTAACACAGGAATTGAATTATAATTCTATTATAAGATCTATGCAAACGACACCAAAATCTGCAGCTTAGGACCAGTCCTTGGTTTGACTCATTACAAATTTCTTGTTGAATAAACATTTCTGCATGGATATCCCTTAGGTACCTCTGTTGTAAAAGAAAAACTGAAATAACATCTAGAGAGAATTTTGTAAACTAACTCACGAAACACGTGGTTATTGTTGATATAGCCAGACTCAATTTTGTTCTCAAACCTGCTTTTCCTCTTGCAGCTGTTAATGGTGTTAGTTGTCCTCCAATCATTCACATTTGAAACCTAAGAACTATTTTTCACCTTCGCCTCTCCCTACCTTCAATTAGTTATCAAGTCCTCTTAGTGTCTTTTTTTTTCCATTTCTATTGCCAACACCCTAGATCACAGCACAGTCAACTCTTTCCTAGAGTTTTAAAATAGCTTTTTAAGCCATTACCCAGGCGGAAATCTAGTGAAGGTTTTTCCTCAATTGCTCCCTCCAACTCTGAAGTGCTTCACCAATGTATACCCACTTTTAAATGCCACTCACTCCTTAGCAGCCCTGCTAATCTCTGTGTGGGCACATGCAACTTCCTATTTAGTCTCCAGTTGGAAGTCTAGTTGGCAACATAAACTTGTCCTAGACCAAAAACTTGCTCAGTCACCTCCCATCTTTATCATGATATAAGTCAACTCCATGTTTCTAGACTTTAGGCCAAAAATCTTGAAGTAAGTCTGTCTGTTTCTCTCTCTCTCTCTCTCTCTCTCTCTCTCTCTCTCTCTCTTCTCTCTCATATAACAAAACTGATCCCATCCGTAAACCCTGTAACTCAAACTTCTAAACAGATCTAGCATGTACAATTGCTGCTCACCACCTCCATACCTCTACCATAACCACGGAGATACCATCCATCATCTCTCCTGCCTGGGTGTTACAAGAATCCATCTGCTTCTCTTTCTTCCTGCCCAGAATATATTCTCAACATAGCAGCCAGAGGGACCTTTTCAAAATTACACTCTGATCACAGCAGGCCTCTCCTCAGCACCCACTGGTTTCTTCACCTATTTTGATGAGTTAAAAGCAGGTTCTTCCAAGACCTACAAGGTCCATCAACACTACCTGACCCCTCCGTAACTCTCAATATTCATCCCATCACATTCCGCTTCCTCCCTCTGCTCCAGTCAACTGGTTTCCTTGCTCATGCTCAACCCCTTGTTGCCCACTTGCTCTTCAGTCTGCCTGGAATGATTTTCAAATATCTGCAGGGCTCACTGCTCACTTCCAGTCATCTGCTTAGGCATGACCACAGTGTTTGCTTCCCATCCTGTGAGAAACAGCAAATGTCCTTTCCCAGCTCACTTATCCATAGAATTTATTGCTACCTGAAAGGCATAGTTACTTATCATCGGCCTCATCCTCTATGACAAGCAGGAATTTGGTCTGATTTGCTTGCTGCTGTACCATCTGTGCCTGTAAATGTCTGGCCCCTGGCAGTGCTCATACATGTATTAGTGATCTAGATAATGTTCAGCACTTGGATGAAGATCTCCTAGCTCTTCGGTGGCTTCTCTCAACCTCGCTAGTGCTTTAGCTTCACGGTTCTCACAGTACGGAGCACTCAACCTGTTGGGGAGGATAGCACGCTTGTGTGCGTGTGTGGCTTATCTCCCTCACAAGTTCATTTACTATTTGGGAGAAAAACACATTAACATAGCACAAGGCATGCAGAGTATTTAATATCTGTGCTAAGAATAAGGTGTTTTATCATATTTAGTCTAAATACACTACACTTGTTTCTGAATCTTTCTGTGAAATAAAGTACGACCCCTCCCAAAGCTGTAGAAGCTTTATATGATTTACTGATTAGGGAGATGCACACAGAATATATGTGAGTATACAAAGTTATACATTAGATGTACTAATGCATCCTGTACCTAACTAGCTCTGACTATATAAAAACTGATTTACGGGAATTTGAGAACAAATTTGTTGAAGGCATAACTGCAAAGAGTAAGGTTATCTGAACTATAACAGAACCACTAAAAAGAGGCAAGAAAAAAAATTTAGGAGCAAGGCATGAGCGGAATATGGATACCACCAGCATATGCGGTTACATAAGCTCCAGAACAAAAAAAATCGACATGCTATTATTTTAATAACCTCTTGGGGAGGGGACAGGGGACATGGATAACATCACTGGTCCAGATTCATGGGTGTTTGTAGCCCTCGTTCCCTTGCATCATAAACCTCAATAAGAATCTGTTCAGATAAATTGCTCATCAAAAGCAGAGGCAGCACTGTCTCTCGGGGGAGCCCCAGCACGCAGCCTGGTATTAGAGGTCTCCAAAATGAATGAAGCAAGCCAAACACTGTCTGGAGCAGGAATATAAACTCCTTTTGTTCCCACAGGCATATAAAGTTACCTCTATACTGAGCACACCACATAGAGCTAAGCCCAGCCCCAGCATCATTTAGGAGATTAAGGACTCCAGACCTTGTTGTGGCACCAGTTTTCACCCAACTTAACACTATTTAACTTCTTTGAACCTCAATTCCTCATCTGCTAAGTGAGGAAGGGGTAAATTTATGACAAATGGGTAAATTTATGTTGATTGAATTTCAATCATTTGGTATTAGACTCCAACTTCTCTTAAGGCAAATATGATTGTGAAGATCACCCAAAAGCTAACCCTCAAAGAGTTTCAAATTAGAAAGGTCACCCAAGGTCATTGTGATAAAATCTAGAACGTTCAGAGTACAGTTTTTCAGTCATATTATGAACTCTCTCCTTCCTTATCAAAGTTACCAGCATAATATTAAACGTCTGAGAGCTTTGTGCCTGCCAACAGCACTGCCAAGCTGTCCACATGGACTGTCTCGGAAAAGGCCTACTCAGATTCTACCACTTGCTAGCTGTATGTCCTTGAGAAAACTGTGCTGTCTTTTTCCATGTCTGTAAGGTACATATAATACCTACGTGTCTGCCTCACAGAATTGATAAGCAGGAAAAGTGGGCAGACTCTAAAGGATTACCCAGCTCTAATGTGTTCTCTTGAATAAATCACTATTCATTAGCAAATCACAATTCTCTTACAGTTCATTCGCCTGCTAATTTTGCATTTCCTTATTTGGAAAGACTCCAATTTAAAACTGCATTTGGATTTTTTCCCAAAAATATATATCTAGCATGTTGCATTTCCAGACAGATTTTTTTTAAAAAAATAGCATTTAGGGTGATGACAAGGGGAAAGTTTAAGGAAGAAGGTGTAGATGACAAATGATCGCTTCTGTGTTGACCACCTACTATCCTGGTGGAAGAGTGTTGGGCCATGTTAGGATGTGTATTATTTTAGACCTCGATTTCAGGAAACTTAAATATCAATATTTCAGTACCAAAAATAACCAACATGTTTCACTGACAGGATCATGAAATTTCTATTTGTTGTGTGAGCTAAGTTTGGGGCCCCCAACTTTCAGAGGGTGCCATGAAGATATTTTTTATATACTTTAAATACATTTTCATGAGATACTATAGAAATTCCCTGAAATCAATACAAAAGCCCGAAGAAGTGCGAGAAGCACCACACACTAGAATGATGAGAATATAATAAAAACTTTTCATTTGTAAGATTTATAGTCTAAATAGGAGTTTCTCTACAGTAACATGGTTGACATTTTGGAGCAGAAAATTATTTGTCATGTATTTTAAGACATTTAGCATCATCCCTGACTATGTGCCAGTAGCAAACCCACCCACCCCCTTGACAGTGTGATCATCCAAAATATTTCCAGATGTTACTGAATATCTCCTAGGGGCAAAATCCTCAAAAAGAAACTCGCATCAACTTTATTGTCCCTTTCTTTTGTCGTCTTATGTGTCCTTATAGTTCCACAGAATCTTTTAGTTAGAGTCTCCCTGGTGGTGCAAGGGGTTGGATCAGCACAACGAAGCTATTGGCAACTACTGCAGCATGAGTTCAATCCCCAGTCAGGGAGCTAACCCACATGGAACAGCAGACCTCTCCTGTGTCACCCGCTGTTCCCCTCAGCAGTGTATTTCAGCAGATCTGCCTGTTCTGCTCCCTACTCTATCTCTGGTGAATCCTCTCTCACCCCCTGCACCACTAGCCTGTACCCCAGTTCTTGGATGGATAAAATAAAAATAAACTTTAAAAAAAAAGAGTATTTTGGCTAACCCCTTAAGTGATATGTAGTTTTCTTAGTTGTCTTTGATTATAACATCACCTTGAATCAGTGTTCATTTCCCATTGATACTGGCAGCAGATTTAATGGCTTAGTCATATAACAAAACATTGTATATCCATGAAACAAATGCTTCTTTGTCATTAACAATTTCTGCCAAGAGGTATCCTAACCAAATTTTCAAATGTCATGGAACCATGCAGACATAAATTCATGCAACACAAAAGCACATGTGTGTACATACAAAGCATCCTAACAAGAATAAACAGACAAACTGACAGATGTTAAATGCGAAATAAAAAGCAAGCCAGAAATTAACCTAAGACTGCAAAAGGTAATACACATTTCTTTTAACCTACCAAAAGAAAGCATTCATGTTATAGGCAGTTATTCTTCAATGGTAGGATATTGAGTAATAATGATTTTCCAAATAAGTATTCTAAGCTTGGTAATATCATCTAGAAATCATTTTTTAATATGAAAAAATTTCTGAATTAAAAACCTATATTCATTTAAGCCAATTTAATTTTTTTTCATTGCATCAAATCTACTTTTGAATATTGGTAACTGAGTACAGAGAACTGAATCTGATATAATAGTTTGACTGCAAGTGCCCTAAAATGCACTTGCGTCTTTTGAAGACATGTATGTATTACTTTCCATTATTCTAAAAACCATTCACTATTTGTCACTCTAAGTTTACAATCTTTACTTTAATGTGTTGCTACTTTGAAACTAAATTGCATGTGGAATAGCCTATAAACAAATACCATGCTGTACAAGCAATAATCTTTAAATATTCTACAGAAGTCATTTGCTGTAGCTAGTCCAGAAAAATTCTTAGCTTTCTAAGTTTGGCCATTTAGTTTCTCCCTAACCTAGTCATACAAATGTGTCACTACAAATGAACATGTCAGTCACTAAAATAGTTGCACATGTTAACATTGCCTCATCCTCGGGATGCCTATATTCTCTTCAAGAAAAACAACCTGCTTACATTATAAAGTCATTCAATTTTGAATGAAAATGCTTCTGATGGCTTTGATCATTCAAAAATGCTTGAAGTTGCAAAGACATTTTTCATCAAAACAGCTTTCCCATGATGAACAGAGATTAACAGTTGCCTAAGCATCATGCTGAAAACTGCCCTTTTACTCACCAGTAAAAAACTTTCAGCACATATAGAGTTGGAAAGGGAATAATGTGCACATGAAAAGCATGCAGGAAGCCTAAATTTTAAAATCAGTACCTGAGAAGTATTTGTAATGAGTTACAATGAATTACACCATTACACCTAGAATGGTTAATTTGCTTTAAATAGCAATAGCAAGTTTAGTAATTCCCAAGGTCTCTATCAAACTATCAAAATTATCAAAAGCTGTCAAAATTAGGGAATCTTCAAGCTATATAGTCCTTACAACAATACTGGAAACTACCAATTTTAATTTTGGCTTTTTGAAAGACTGGTTTGAGTCTACAACACAGTCATGTTGTAATCTCCCTCCCAATCTGGAATCTTAAAAATGTTTCAAATACTACTAAGGGGAGGGTCAAAGGATCTTAGGAGCTAACAACATACAGATAATGCCAACTGCATGCATTCCAACCTCTAAACACACTCATGCTTTTTCCATCACAGTTTTTCTAAAATGTAATCCCTTTGGGATTCAACAACTAAAAATCAGAATTTTATTTTATTAAGCAATTAAAAACCAAAATAAGTACCTTTTCTTAGCCAAGTGCTCCTGTTACTTTTAATCAACTCCTTAAATTTAAGATTTCTAATAAAACTATCACTGTCATATAGCACTTCATGCACTGGCACCCAGACACAGAAATGTTACCACAAGGTTGCAATATTAAGAAGACATTCCCATTTTTAAAATCTCATGCACAGCACATAGCACCCCCATTTAGTGACATGCCAAGAGAGAAGTGCAGTGACACATCACACAAATGACAGACAATATGCAGTTTGTACTGTGAACTCCATAACTTACCCATTCTCACCATAAATCTTTTGAAAGAGTCTGAGAAACCAAAAAACCAAAAATGAAAAAAAGTGATTTTTTTTCCAGTTATGTTTGTTTCAAAGTGTTCAGTATCTTTAACTTAAACATCTAACTAGAGATGGACAAATCTCAAAAGGTTGCATCTTCTGATACATTCATCATGTCTCAAATACTCATTGATCTCATATCTTAAGGAATTCAGTTTAAGCATGATAAGTGGTTTCCTGATTTACCTAGAACCAATGAATCCATAACAAAATGCTTCCTGTTGCCAGGAACAAAGAATAAGCTATATTTGGATCCACTAGTTGGATTCAACCTAATCACATTTGTCCATCTCAAAGTTCAACAAACTCAACATTCATCAAAATGTCAAATAGCATTACACTTAAAATGCAGAATCCTTATTATCAAAGTGACTCTTACATATAAATTTTAGCAGACAGCATCTAACATTCATGCATTTTAACATTTGCATTAAACTTTAAATTCGAAAAACACATTGATAATCCAAGAAATCTAAGACAAAAACAAAAATCAAAATCAAGGTAAATGAAATTTGCAATGCCATATTTTAAGGGAAATCTTATGCTCCAAAGTATGAGAGACACATTAAAACACCAAATTACAACCAGACTCTTTCATAAATGCCTGGACATGAGAAAAAAGATTAAGTTGGAAAATATTTCATGAAACATGTTGCAGGACATTACCAGGGGCTTCTCAAGGCCAAAGGCAAGGTCTGTGGGTATACCTTCATAAACAGGCCTCAAACAGGTAACTTAGAGGTGTGCCAATATGGAATTGCACCTTGTCCATGAAATGACTCAAAGTTTCTCAAAGCAAAGTAAATTTTTACAGGATGCTTCAAAATGGCTCATGACATGCAGAACTGGGTGACACGATGCCACTTTCTCATACAAATTACACAAGACCATCCAGGACAAGCAAAATCCTTGCAGAAACACACTCTGACCTCTCAACCATCAGCCGTTTCTTGTGCCTAAGCCTGCTGGCCTCCCGGATGGCCTCCCATTTCCGAAAGTCAGCCTCACTGCACGGGCCAGGAGTGAAACTTATGGGAGGCACCGCAGTCCCCAGACTCCAGGACTGGATCTTCCGCGTCAACATGTCATCTTTCTTCTGCCGATGGGAAGGAACCAATACTCTACAGCTATTCCTTTTTTCTTTGGGTGGGCGCGTCCTTTCAAGTACACAGAGAAACTTGGCTTGAATTTCTGGGGGAAGGGTCCAGGGATCAGGGAAAGGGACCGGTTGGTATCTATCTGGGGCTCCCGACAGAGGCACTTCTTTCTTTTGCGCTGGAATTCGGCGAATGATCATATCATCTTTTTCTAAATCTGGAAGTACAAGTTCACCTTCTCTACACTGCAAAATTATGTCTCGCTCCACAGGATCCTCTTGCTCAGAAAATCTTCTAAAGTCTTCAAAAGCCCGGAGAACGCATGGATTGGCATGGAAAGCCCCAGTCCTTCTGACAAAGAAATCGTCGTTCTCTAAGTCAGGATCCAGGGCTGACATTTCGAGGTCATCTCTTCTAAACCCTGGTGCATAAGAGAGATTCCTTCTACGTGTGATGAGCCTTGGGCCAGAAGTGGGATCAATTCTGGTATTTGTTTCAGAAGACAAGATGTCATCAGAGTATGTTTGGAGGGCCTGAAGTAATAAAAACTGACTGAGGCATAGAAAAGAAAAAGGAAGGGAGAATCTTATTAAGTTTGGGGAGATAAGTTCAACAGACTGACTAGCCAGATTCTGTAGGTGACTTATTGTAGGGGGCCATGCAAGGGACTCTGGAAGAAAGTCTAGGATTCAATTGTCACTACCCATGACAGTCCTGGAGATTACTTAGAGTACAGTGTACATGCCAGGAAAGGTGGCACCACTGGGCCAGGTAATGGAGCTTAAAAGTATACAGACTACACCTGGCATAGCCTCACCACTCCCTTTCACCACTTCCTCATTCCATTAGCCACAAAGACCTAACTGTCTCTCAGAAACAGCAATGATCTTGGACAGTTTCAACAGTTGGGCCTCAAGTACTGTACACATCAGACACAGGGAGTCATGGAATTTTTAGAATAAAATGCTCTTAAACTTTCTAAAAGCCCCTGATGTATTTTTTGTCTACATTTCCAAATAGGCTTTGCATTCCCATATCTAAAAGTCATTTCCTTTCTCCACATCTCCTCACACAGCACAACAATAAAGTTAGGTCAAACTTCTAAAAAGCCTTTTAGAATTGGCTTTCTAAAAAAAAAAAAAAAATGACTGTTACATGCAACTATATATTGTCTTGAACATGACTATGCTGAAGAATATTTAATTCTTCCTAATTCTAAGCTTACATGCTCAGCCAGAAAGCATTATGTTATATATTATGCTTTTGTACTAAATATTAGAAGAATATGCTTTCAGGATTCAACGCGCATGATCAGAAGTTAATGTAGCAGCTGAATCTGTACAGGTGGGGCAGGCCAGGCTCCAATCAGGCAGGCTCATGCAGGCAGGTACACCTGGGCTCATCTGCAGCACCGCCAGTCCTCCTGGCTGCACGCGTTTCCCATGAATTTCTGGCCCGGGTAGCCATTTCCAGCAAGAGGGAATGTCTTTCACGGTTGCTTTCTAGCCTACCTTCTGCTTTCCGTGTTCTACTAAAAAAGGCAGAGCCTAAATCCTCATCACCAGAGTCTGAATTCCTTCTACTGTGGAGTGATGCAGAGGAAGGAAGGAGGAAAGGAAACAAAGGATTGAAAACAAATACAAGTACTAAAAATAATGTCAAGCTATGGCTAATAAGAAGGGGGATTTTTAACAGCCAGATCCTAAAGTTTCAGTTTAAACAGTCACCTCTTTTTCAATTATCGAGGTTCTACAGGTGTCGGAGGAAGAAATTAACTTTTGTCTCTCTCATAAAACGTTCACATACAAAGCACCCAGCCAGGGTACTGAAGAAATGCCAGAATAACAGAAACGTGCACAAAGACAAACCTGAATCCCTGAAATTCTTTATACCATGGCTTATAAGTTTCCCTTTTTATTCTTTTCCAGTTCACATCTTCTGGAATCCAACATTTAGGAAGAAACTGATCGAAAGCATTCCCTGGGGTTGGCAAGATTGGACTTAGCTTTCGCACATAAAGGTCATCCTTTACAGTGTTGGGTATACTTGTCTTTTCTTCCACTTCCAAGTAATAAGAGGAGCTTGAAGTTACGTGTCCTGTTGGCCAGTTTTCCAGATGTGTGCCCCCAGTTCTTTTCCTGATACTGTTCAAAACATCCAACCAGTTAATATACTCTATGAGCAATTCGAGACACAGAACACAAAAGGCATGCTTTAGGGCTCACAAAGTGTCCACCACTGTAAATGAAGCAAATTAGTTCCCATTCCCATCATTACAGGCCCTAGAACAAAGTTACGGCATCATAACAACATTTCATTTTTGTTAGAGAATCGTTTTCATACACAAGTTTCAAAGATACTATTATGTAACAGGTGTGAAGGGACAAATTGCTCACAATTCAGAGTGTTGCTTTCTGTATGAAAATCAACAATCAGCATAATAGGCTGTCCTGGGAGAAATTTTTCTGATCTCATCAGTTCTTACAGCCTAGTGGCTAAAGGGTCAGGAGGAAATATTTGTGAACCAGAATTAGGAGAAATGGTTTTGATATGACACTCTCAAGTCTCTTTTTCACTCAAACCTGTAACTAGCTAAGTCAAACTATAAAAGGCAATCTCCATTCATCCTCAAATTCCAATCCACTTTTAGAACCCCATACCTCCTTCTGACAGGTATTTGAAAAATCACATTCTGCTCTGCTAATCTGATGGCAAATGAAGGGTTTCTTTTTGGGTCCACTGAGATCAATCAAGACAAAAAAAACAACAACAACAGAATAACAGCAGAGCTCATAGTAGAAAATATAAGTTATCCAGTAAAAGTTGAAAGATGCCAATAAGCTAAAGGCATGCATCTAAAAAAAGAACCGACAAATCATATGCTGACATTCTAAAACTGAAGAGTTATCTTCAAGATAGGCATAGCTAAAAATAGAGGTAAGGGTAAAAATTAGTGAATTTAACACATTATCTATGAAAGTAACATTTTAGAACCACTCCTTATACCACATTTAAATAACCCAGCAAATTCATAAAACATTTTAAAACTCAGTGATCAGCTCGCATTCCACCCAGTACCTTGGAAATGCTCCATCCGTTTCTGCGTAGGCTGGGTTTGCCCAGCTTCTTCGGTTATCCTCGTTTTTGTCTGGCTTTTTCTTCCTCAAGGGCGCTGGCACATAGGATGGCTGTCTACTCTTGTTGGGTAAAAAACGATTGAATGGTAAAGCAGACTTTGGTTCAATAGCCGCAATCCTTCGATAGGACATATCATCTTTATTATAATCCTGCATTTTGAATGTAAATTCAGAATCTGTGTCACTTTCGAAACCTATAAAAAAAGCACAAGAATTTGCTTTACTCTCCGGATCATTCGTCTAAATGAAGCCCACACAGCATGCCCGCTTTGTCTGTCCCTTGGAAACCCAGTGCTCTACTGCTAACCGCAAGAAGTATTTTTAGAACTTGTCATGAAGTTGTGATAAGATCCATTAGGAGGAACTTGCTTTGCATACTGAAGGCACATGAGGTATATAGTCTTTCACTGTTGCACATTCTGCTTAGAAACAAAGCCCCAATTTATGACTAAATCCCTGTTTTTCAATTTTCCAGCCCCCATGATTTTTCATAATATATATTGATGGAATACAAGTAAATAAAATCTAGCGATGAATTTAAAGACACTTAAAGCAAGATATAAAAGAAATTCTAGGGAAACTTAGTAATTTAAAACAAAGCATGCAGTCCTTTAAAATTTCTGTGAGGCCAGAGATAAGAAGAGAAGCAAAAAGCACAAGATCACAAAAAGGTTTGGCAGATCCTTGGAAGCAAGAATCTGCCTATAAGTAAGAATCCCACATTAGATGGGAGCTTGGACCAAAAGACTTCTGAAGTCCCAAAGGAATATCAAGTCTCAATCCTAAATGAGAAGTCAAAGCTCTCTCTGAGCATGTTCATGGACATTATATTGGGAAACTTGCATTTTGATCCAAAATGATTGAAACACAAATTTAAAACAAGTAACGCTTGATCACACCTCAAGGTGACACAGGTACAACTATTAATTATTCTCTCAAAATAAGCAAATCTGCTCTTTGAAAAACACAGGAAGAGAGGGTAGAGAATACTACACAGACCCAAGCTGAGCTGTCTCACTTTCCTGTCTCTTGCGTTTTTTGTAAACCAAGTTTATATAATGCTGCTTGCTTCCCCTAAAGCCTCAGAGGCTGACTGTGAAGTAGCTGGCAAGCCCAGGTCTCAATACAGAGAGCACCTGCAGGGTTAATCTGAGCTAAAGGTGATCTTGTCTGCTCCCTCCTGTCTGGCAGGAATCTACAGTAAACAACAGTGAGAAAGAGTCTCCAGGAAGTGGTTTAATACACAGCTACAAGACTATGAGACTGGAACAGGGCAATGAAGAATCATGGAGAAAAGGGAGAAAGTATAAACAGCTGAGACCAGGATTCCTTATTTTTACCACTTCTTAAATAAACAGTACAGTTTTAGGAAATAATGTCTTAATGGTTCTTACCAAAATTTGTACTCCTGAAATTTAAAAATGGCAAAGATCATTCCACTTTGGAATTTTTTTAAAAGACTTTTTTTTATTTATTCTTGCACACACGAACCAGGGTACAGGCCAGATGTGAGGGAGGGTGAGAGGATTCACCAGAGACAGAGTGGGGAACAGAACAGGCAGACTGACTGAAATACACTGACTGAAATACACTGCCGAGCAGCAGGCGAGACAAGAGAGGTCTGCTGCCCCATGTGGGTATCTCCCCGGCCAGCTGAGATCGAACCCATGCTGCAGAGGCTGATGACAGCTTCACAGCGCTGTGCTCCAGCGCCTGCACCACCAGAGAGGCCCTATTTTGGAATATTTTTAAGTTAAATAAAATATTTTGATCTGATGCCAATAACCTGCAGAATAGACAAATATGCTCCTTGATATAAGGGCTTTTATATACAACTAAGGAATTTGACTGCAACACTGTTAACTTTAAAATAATATTAGTTGTTGTGATTATTAATTTGGGATGACAGTGTGGTAGGAAGCAGAATTTGCAATACATTGACGACAAAAAAATGTTTTAACTTCCTGGCAGTCTGTAGACCTTTCAAAAAACAAAATTTGTCTATAACTACTAAGTCTTCATTTCCACACCCTTTAGGCAAGTGAAGGGCCAGGCAGCAGTGCTGCTTCTGATATGTTCCAGGCACCCAGACCAACAAGGATGTGAGGGGAAAACTGGCCTCTGAACTGCCTGAAAACTGCATTTCCACCTGCCCTCAACCTTTGTCCCTTTTATTCTTTGTTGGCTAGATAAAAGTTCAAACACCTTGTGTTTAAATTCTCCAATCAGGACAAACTAATACAATGGGTTGAGGATTTCAGCCTCTGCTTTTACAGCTTTGATCGTTTAGATAAGTTAAAAACTCAGATTCATTTCCTTAAAAGTACTGTAATAGTCATCTGAGCTATGAAAATATCACACTTAGATTATTAACAAATGTTGTAGTAATTTTAAAGGTTAACGCTTTACTCTTTCTAATTTGAATACCACTACTACTGTAGAAGCTAAAGAATTTGGGTTTTTGTTATAATGCTTAATAATTTGCTCTTATTTTTAAAAAAAAAAATCATTGTACATTTATGTACCTAAGAACACAATAAAGATAGGATTATAGCTAATGGTGTGCATATTGAAGTATTTAAGACCAATATAACTTACTCTGAAATGTATTCAAAAATAAGGCAGATAAATTAATCCCCAGAGACAGAGACAAAAAAAAAAAAAAAAAAACAGTAAAAGGTCATAGCAGAGCTTGGCAATGGACACATGGGTGGTCACCAAGGTCTTCTGATATTGATGTTCCAAATAATTTATTAGAAAAACATTTTAAAATAGATGATTCAAAAATGAACAAAGTTAAATCCTAAGAAACTAGCACAAATTCACAACCAGAACTCTCCCCATTTTTTCATGTTGATGGTGGTGAAGTGCAGAAATATTTCAAGAAACTTTTCTTGCGATTTTAACCTAATGAAATTTGCTAGAGATATAGAGTCAGAATCTTTTATGATACTGGATGACCATAGGAACAACACTTGCACTTAAAGCACTGATTTGATCATAACATTGGGATTTTGCAATAAGGTTCCTTTCCACAAGAGAATGACCTCCATTAATATGTTCTGTTTGCAATCACTGTGTCCTGAGTTAGCTCAAGCCTGACAAAAGCAAAAGATGTTTTCTAACCAAGCTAGCATTCTTAGGTAATCTATCAAAATTTAGCATAATATTCTATCATGATTGATACAAATCTCCTTTGTTATAATTATAACAATAATTTTTTTCTGCTTTTTCCTTAAGAAAAATGTTTTTTACCTTTGGAAAAAGAAAGGATGAAAGAAAATTACTCAGGACTAAACTTTTTTTGAACAGTCCTATTTCCTTTTTATGTTTAGCTTTCTCAATTAATAAGCCACACAGGCATAAGTTATAACCCTAAATCAGGAGAGATTATCACTGACAGAATAGGTCAGTTTACTGTTCACTCCCAAGCCTACTCTAAAACCGAAAAGAAAATCAAGTGAAATGACCACCCTTCTACTGGAACTATAGAAAAGGAAGAACAAAACAATTTTTAAAAAGACACCCCCAGTTACATTGAAATCTCTATGAAAATCCATTTCTTGATGAAATTTTTGCCTCAATACTTTTCATGCCAATTTTCTACTCTCTCCCACTCCTAAATTTCTCTTCATATGCAAATAAAAATACTGACAGCCAGAATTGAGAGCAACATGGCAGCGAGGAGACTGCGAGTAAGATCTCCCATTAAAAAAAGTGAATAGGGAGGAAAAGCGGCAGGTCCCAGTGAGAACTGGGACACGGAAGATAAACGGGTGACGCCAGCAAACTACCCGAAGAAGAAAGTGGCCATAAAAGAGGACTAGAAGGGAGGAAAGCGCAGAACCCTGCTCCCCTCCCCCGCCCACAGAGGCGGCACTCTCCCACCGGCAGAGAGGAGGAAACAACAAACCAAAACGGCCCACAAGAACAAACGACGCAGCAAGCGGGACTGTGAGTGGAAAGGAACTATTGCAGCCACCACACCCCGTGAAGGGGAGCTGAGGCGAACCCTGCAGGATCCGCCGCAGCGGTGAGCGAACGGCTCCGGGCGCCATTAGAGAAGAACAAAGACCCTGGGAGACGCGCACACAGCCCGGGCTGCCTGTAAGCTGGCGCGGAAACGCGGCGCGCTCCGCGAGCTTGAAAAGCAAGTGCAGACTGGAATCTTGGCTGCCCAGGTACCCGCGCCTGCGACCTAGGCTTGCAGGGAGACGACCTAGGCTTGCGGGGAGACGCGCGGAGGTCCTCACTGAGGTGAAGGTCCCTCCCTGAGTAAGCAGGAACCAGGCGCCCAGGCACAGGAGCTGTGCAAAAGGCGCCCTTCCCGCGCCACTGAACTGGGCTACAGCCCGCGTCCTGGAACTGAGGGCTTTGAACTGAGACCCGGGGCACGAAAATTCGGGGCGTGGGTTCTCCACGACGGTGGGGCACAAGGCAGACACAGCACCCCAAAGCTGTTGAGGTGTACCCTATCATTCCCGCTCTGTTCCCTGTCCCACGGGGTGGGGGGAGGCGAAAAACAGCCCCCCAAGGACAATAGGAGAGATCTCTGGCGCCACCTAGCGACCAGGAAAAAAAAGTCACTAACACCCCATAAAACAGGAAATTTCTTAAGACTGCTTGAAAAGGGCAGAAGGCTTCTGCAGTGGCCAGCCGGGAAGTTATTCCACGCCAGGCCCCTTCCGACCAGCAGTCTGAGCCCACAGAGGGAGCAGGCACCCAAGTCCGGGGCAGACCGGGTGCGCAGAAGAGTGTGCCTGAAACCGGAGGCGCAGGGACTGCATCCCGCTTCGCCATTTGAGAACAGGGACATTTCTTCAGTAAAAACTGCCTAAAACCAGCAGAAAGCTCCCCCAGAAGACAGAGATGGCTCCTGGAAGAGCCAGAGGGGAGCGGAGAAGTTCACCCAAGATGCCAGTCAGTCCGAGCAACACAGTGTCCCAACGCATACGACAAATTAGAAAACAGACAGTAGGGAGTAGAAGAACCACACGCAACCTAACAACTCCTCAGGAAAGAAGCACACCACAAAAAGAAAACCGCTCCCCAGATTGCAACGACAGCAACTTGGAAGAACTTCTGAGCCTTCCAGAAAGAGAATTTAAAATTGCCATGATTAAAAAAGTGATAGATCAGAAGAAGGAAATTGAGTCCCTAAAGAGGGAAAACAATGGTCAGAAGAATGAAATTGAATCCCTAAAGAGGGAAGTAAAAGAAATGCAGGAGATCAAAGAATTAATGGAGGAACTAAAGAACTCCGGGAAAAGCAAGGAAAGCAGAATAGATGAAATGGAAGAACGAATAAGTTCTCTTGAAGACACAGAAATAAAAAGAACCAAAACAGAAAAGGAAAGAGAAGTACGAAGGAAAAAGAATGAAGAAAGACTTCGGGAACTATCTGACTCCATGAGGAAAGGAAATATAAGAGTTATAGGAATTCCAGAAGGAGAGGAGAGAGATGTAGGAACAGAGAAAATATTCCAGGAGATAATTGAAGAGAACTTCCCAAATGCGAAGAAGGAGCTGAAAATTGATATACAAGAAGCAAGAAGAACACCAAACTTCCACGACGAAAGGAAAAACACAGCAAGACACATAATAGTAAAGCTCCCAAGAATCCAGGACAAGGAAAAAATAATGAAGCTGACAAGAGGGAAGAAACAGATAACATTCAAAGGAAAACCAATCAGGCTGACATCAGACTTCTCTGAAGAAACACTACGGGCAAGGAGAGAGTGGAGGGACATAGTCAACAGACTCCAAGAAAACAGATGCCAACCAAGAATACTCTATCCCGCAAAGCTCTCTTTCCTCCATGAAGAAAGAATATGGACCTTCCCAGACAAAGAGAAACTCTGGAATTTCATTACGAATAAACACCCACTCCAAAAAATACTACAAGGAATCCTAAAGCCAGAACCTCAGAGGGACGAATAACAACAAAAGAAGACCAAAAAAAAAAAAAAAAGTTATTAAAAGAATAAATAAAATCAAAGGAAAGACAAACATAATGGCAAATACAGATGCTAACATATCAATATTAACTCTAAATGTTAATGGACTAAACTCTTCAATAAAAAGACACAGAGTTGCAGCCTGGATTAAGAAACAAAACCCAACCTTTTGCTGTCTCCAGGAAACACATTTAGCTACAAAAGATAAAAATAGGCTCAAAGTCAAAGGATGGAAAACAATCCTACAAGCAAATGGGCCAAAAAAGAAAGCAGGAACAGCTATACTTATATCAGATAAAACAGACTTCAAACTCAAAAAATAAAAAGAGACCCCAATGGTCACTACATTATGATTAAGGGGACAATACTTCAAGAAGAAATAACACTCATTAACATATACTCACCAAACGAAAGAGCACCAAAATATATCAGACAACTGTTGTCCTCTCTGAAAACAGACATCAGAGAAAACACATACGTAGTGGGAGACTTCAACACACCACTATCAACAATGGATAGATCAACAAGACAAAAAATAAGTAAAGACACTAAAGCTCTAAATAAGGACCTAGAGCATTTGGGCTTAACAGACTTCTATAGAACACTAAACCCAAAAAAAACGGAGTACACATTTTTCTCAAGCGCACACGGATCATTCTCCAGGAATGATCACATACTGGGGCACAAGACAAACATCAACAGATACACCAAGATTGAAATCATACCAACCATCTTTTCTGACCACGAAGGCATCAAACTAGAAATAAATCATAAAAAGAAGGCAAGGAACTATCCTACCTCATGGAGATTAAAAGCCACACTACTGGAAGACCACTGGACTAATGAGGAGATCAAAGAAGAAATTAAAAAATTCTTTGAATTGAATGACAAGGAGGACACCAATATCCTAATGTATGGGATGCAGCAAAAGCAGTAATAAGAGGAAAATATATAGCAATAGAAGCTCACATCAAAAAACAAGAAAGAACTCAAAGAAACAACCTAATCTCGAAGCTCAAAGATCTAGAAAAAGAACAACAAAAAAACCCCAAATCCAGTAGAAGAAAAGAAATAATAAAAACCAAAGCAGAAATAAATGAAATTGAAACTAAAAAAACAATCCAAAAGATCAATGAAACCAAGAGCTGGTTCTTTGAAAAAATCAATAAAATAGACAAACCCTAGCCAGGCTCACAAAGGAAAAAAGGGAGAAAGCACAAATACACAGGATCATAAATGAAAGAGGAGAAATCACAACGGACACAGCAGAAATCAAAAGAATAATCAGTAACTACTATGAACAGTTATATGGAAACAAGTTCAACAATCTAGAGGAGATGGACAAATTCCTACAACTCTACAATCACCCAAAGCTAGATAAAGAAGAAATAGAACACCTAAACAGACCAATTACAAGCAGCGAAATTGAAATGGTAATCAAAAACCTCCCCAAAAACAAAAGCCCAGGACCTGATGGATTTACAAATGAATTCTACCAAACATTCAGAGATGAATTAGTGCCTATCCTTCACAAACTCTTCCAAAAAATTGAGAAGGAAGGGACAATACCAAGCACGTTCTATGAAGCCAATATTACACTAATACCAAAACCGAATAAGGACAACACAAAAAAGGAAAACTATAGGCCAATCTCCCTAATGAACACTGATGCAAAAATCCTCAATAAAATTTTAGCTATCAGAATCCAACAATGTATCCATAAGATAATTCACCACGACCAAGTTGGATTCATTCCAGGGGCACAAGGATGGTTTAACATCCGAAAATCAATCAACGTTATCCAACACATCAACAAAAAGAAATATAAAAACCATATGATAATATCAATAGATGCTGAGAAAGCTTTCGACAAAGTGCAACACCCATTCATGATAAAAGCCCCTGAAATTCTTGGGATACAAGGAACATACCTCAACATCATAAAGGCCATCTATGACAAGCCAACAGCCAGTATAATTCTCAATGGTGAAAAGCTGAAAGCAATTCCATTAAGATCTGGAACAAGACAAGGATGTCCACTCTCACCACTGCTTTTCAATATAATACTGGAAGTCCTAGCCAGAGCAATAAGACAAGAGAAAGACATCCAAGGAATCCAAATAGGAAAAGAAGAAGTCAAACTATCACTATTTGCAGATGATATGATAATATACATAGAGAACCCCAAAATCTCCACAGAAAAACTAATTCAACTCATCAGTCAGTTCAGTAAAGTGGCAGGATACAAAATCAACACGCAAAAGTCAGTAGCCTTCCTATACACAAACAATAAATCTGAAGAAGAAGAAATCAAAAAAACCACCCCTTTTATTATTGAAACAAAAAAAATCAAATATTTGGGAATAAATCTAACAAAAGAGGCAAAGGACCTATACAAAGAAAACTATAAAACACTGTTAAAAGAAATAGAAGAAGACACAAAGAAATGGAAAGACATCCCCTGCTCATGGATTGGAAGAATAAACATTATTAAAATGGCCATCCTACCAAAAGCAATATACAGATTCAATGCTATTCCAATCAAAATCTCAATGGCATTCTTCAAAGAAACAGAACAATTATTGATGAAATTCATATGGAATCACCAAAAACCCCGAATAGCCAAAGCTCTACTGAAAAAAAAGAAGGAAATGGAGGCATCAAACTCCCAGACTTCAAACTATACTACAAAGCCATAATCATCAAAACTGCATGGTATTGGAACAAGAACAGACATACAGACCAATGGAATCGAATAGAAAATCCAGAAATAAACCCACAGATTTATGGTCAACTAATCTTTGACAAAGGAGCAAAGACTATGCATTGGAGCAAAGAAAGTTTGTTCAATAAATGGTGCTGGGAAAACTGGGTCGCTACATGCAAAAGAATGAAGCTTGACCACTACCTCACACCATACACAAAAATCAACTCAAAATGGATTAAAGAACTAGACATAAGACCTGAAACCATAAAATACATAGAAGGAAATATAGGCGAAACACTACGGGATTTGCACATCAAAGACATCTTTACAGACACATCACCCAAAGCAGTGATAGTGAAGACAAAGATAAACAGCTGGGACTACATCAAATTAAAGAGCTTCTGCACAGCAAAAGAGACAATAACAAAAACAAAGAGAAACCCCACCAACTGGGAGAACATTTTTGCACCCAACACTAATGATAAAGGACTGATCACAAAAATCTGCAAAGAGCTGATGAGACTCAGCAACAACAAAGAAAATAATCCAGTCAAAAAATGGGCAGAAGAGCTAAAAAGAAACTTCTCTGAAGAGGAAATGCAAATGGCCAACAGACATATGAAAAAATGTTCAACATCACTTGTCATCAGGGAAATGCAAATCAAAACTACCATGAGATACCATCTCACACCAGTGAGAATGGCACATATTAAAAAAAACTAGCAACAACAAATGTTGGCGAGGGTGTGGAGAAAAGGAACTCTTCTGCACTGTTGGTGGGAGTGCAAACTGGTCCAACCACTATGGAGAGCTGTGTGGAGATTTCTGGACCTACTAAACATAGAGCTTCCATATGATCCAGCAATTCCACTCCTAGGTATTTACCCAAAGGACACAGAAACATCAATTCCAAAGAGCACCTGCACCCCTATGTTTATAGCAACACTGTTTACAATAGCTAAGCTTTGGAAACAGCCCAAATGCCCAAAAATAGATGACTGGATCAAGAAGATGTGGTACATATATACCATGGAATATTACTCAGCAATCAAAAAAGATAAACACATGCAATTTGCAGCAACATGGATGGCGCTGGAAGGGATCATGCTCAGCGAAATAAGCCAAAAAGAAAAAGAAAAATACCGGATGGTCTCACTCATAGCAGGAATCTAGAAAACTTAAATAAGGGACCAGGAAAATGAATATAAGAAAGTGAAAATCAAAATCAACAAAAAACTATGAACCAGAGACACTTTTTGGGGGTGGGGGCGGAAGGGAAGGATTGGGGTCAGAATGGGGCGTTTGCAATTGTATGGGGGAATATAAAAATAAAATTTAAGATTAAAAAAAAAATAATAAAATAAAAAAAAAAAATACTGACAGCCAACACACAACTCACCTTCACGTCCCCCCCTCAATGTGGTGTCAGAGGAGCAGCTTGTCAACGACCTAGACCCCAAGGAATCCAAGCTTTCAAAGGAATCCTCTCTCTTATGGCCGCCTGGAGGAGCTGCAAACTCTCCACGTTCAGTGGACCAGATATCACCGTAGCCACTGTCCCTGCCACTTCTCTTCAGGCAGCTGGAGTCTTCAAGTGCCTAAGGAAATATTTTTTTAAATACTTATACATCAACTTCCAAAAATGTAATCCCTCTTTGCCTGTGTCTTTGAATAGCTCAAGCTGTGCTTCATTTGACAGGTGAGCAACGTGAATTCCCTGTCACACAAAAGGCAAAATCTTGGTAACAATCAGAAAATACATGTTTTTCCCACATATCTGCCACTCATATAGCAACAAAAAGGTATTCAATATTATTTAATAAAGTGGTATAGCCTATTTAAAAAGAAGGGGAAACAGTTTAATAAAAGAAAAGCTAATAATCAGAATAAAATTCAATGTTAAAAATCAATGATTATTGGGCCTCCATGGTGGTGCAGGTGGTTGAGCACCATACTGTGAAGCCTGTCCACAGCCTCTGCAGCACAGGTTCAATCCTGGCTGGCCAGCGAGAACCCCACTTGGCGAAGCAGACCTCTCCTGTCTCGCCCGCTGCTCCCCTCAGCAGTCTCTAGTTAATCCTCTCACCCTCCCACACATCTGGCCTGTACTCCAGTTCTTGTATAAATAAATAAATCTTTAAAAAAAAAAATCAATGATTATTTACAGTGCTCTGATAATAAACATGAAAGAAGTCTAAGAGAAACCCAACCTTAACTCCTTTTGGAAATCTAAATTAATACAGTTATATTCAACCTACTTCCCAGAAATATTTGGGGCGGTTTATGTTAAAACAGTTAAAGTTCCATAATAAAATGTTTTAAAAAGAGAAGGGTGAGGGGAGCACATATTCATTTCACAGAATTCATTTATTTTCACTGATTATAAAACCTAGATCTGAACCAAGGGAAGCAGGCTGCTGGCATACGAAACATTTTCCTGGATTGAACTGGATTATTTGTTTGGCTTAAGTAAGCAATAAATTGAAATTGACATGTTACTAACTATAGGCTTGTCAATCATAAAATTTATTCAAGTAAGTATTTTAATTAACATTTCTCTGTGAAAATTAATAGCAAAATCCAACTGGACTTTTAAAATTAGTATTTAAGTAAAATTTATAAAGCCCTTACCATAGTCCTGCCATAATTTTTCAAAACACTGAGAGGTAAAGTAGCAGATGAGCTGAATAATATTGGAAGAGTTTAAAGAACCTATGAATTCCTAAACATCAAACATGTGAAACTTAATTAAATCACATCAGACTTAATCAGTTTTGTACTGGTAAGTTTTGTACTGGACAAGATATTAGGTAATGGGGGAATATTATGCATTTTCTTAAGTACAACACTCTGGTTATATGGAATATTTCTACTCCTCAGAGATGCATGCTCAGTAAGTACTGGGATGTGATATTCAAAATTTACCATGATTAAATAAAAAAAAAAAAGATGTTCAGATAAATAAAGTCAGTATAGGAAATTTTCAATAACTGATCCAGATGGTACATAGCTGGGTATTTATACTATTTTTTTCAACTTCAAATTCTCAGCCTATAAAAAAGTTGAAAAAATGTTTACAGAATATTTGGCAGCTGACTTGGGCATAATTTTTGTTAAGACTGGATCTATAAATTCATGGTTAAATTGCTTATAAGTGTTTGAAATGCCAATAAAGAGTGGAAGATTGATGTGAGATGCATCAGGTGCCAGGTGCCCTGGTCAGACTTGACAACCTGCCACAGAAAGCAAGCCCCACACCTGTACCCTATTTCCAAGTGGATGGGAAAGCTAAGAGTAGCACTGATACCACCTCAAATACTTCTCAAAACATAAAAAGATTAAAGCTTTTCAACTATATCTTCAGATCCACCAGGTTTCGGAGACCCATACTTGTTGGAGTTTTAGAGTTCTATAAAAAGTGAGATGATTTTTGACCTCTAACATTAACAGCATTGCTGACCGGCTCCCTCGGTTATAAAGGCCCCTGAGTCTGGCTCTGGTGCTTGGTTGGTATTTTTAGGACTTCACTCTGACAAGTCACCTAAAATGAGTCACCTCCAACTTACAGGATTGACTCAGGTACAACAGCATACTCCAAGTATTTCTTTAATTGATATTTTGCATTGGCCACTGAGCTTTATCTAGTTCAAAGGGAAAAGTGTAATGAACAAAATGATTTTTATTTTAACAGAACAAATAAAAAAAAACAGAGCATATATTCATACATCTCTTACGGCTCTCTGCACTCCATAATAATGGAATGAAACCACAACTACAATTTTATTAAAAACATTTTTTACCTACTATGATTTTGATCCTAAACAGGAAGCAATCTTTAGCAAAGCACCCCAGCTCACTATACTGGGATTATTCAGCCTGAGTCACAATATCATAAAAAGGACAAAGGCTGGAAAGAGATTACTGATATAGGTGCCAAAGTCCCATAGTGCTTTTAACTGGATGATTTCTTAGCTGAAACAACTGTAAGGCAAGGTTCTGTTTGTGCCCAAAGGCCCCTGTGCATTCTTCCACCAGAGCCTTACCCTCCTCCCCTGTGACCTAGCTGTTCATTTGTCCCCATCAGACAACTGCACCATGAGGAAGCATCCTCTGCCTTGTCTGTTTTCCCAACACCTAGCACACCGCCTGTGCATGATAATCTTTTTTTTTTTTTAATAGAGGCATGTTTTTTATTTATTTATTTATTTGTTTGTTTGTTTTGTTTATACATGCACTGGGTACAGTCAGAAGCGCGGGAGGGTGAGAGAATTCACCAGAGCCAGAGCGGGGAGCACAGCAGGCAGAAGGACCAAAGTACACTGCTGAGGGGAGCAGCGGGCGGGCGGCAGGAGAGGTCTGCGCGCCATGTGGGACCCTCCTCTGGTGGCCGGGGAGCAGCCGGGGATCAAACCGGCGCCGCCGAGGCTGCGGGCAGCTTCACAACCCAGCGCTCAACCGCTGTGCCACCGGGGAGGCCTGTGCATGATAATCTTAACTGAAGCCTGAATTAACTGACTGAAGGAATTTGATAGAGTGCTATCAACTTTTTACCATTCAAAAAAATTTTAAAAGAGGAATACCTATAGTTCCTAGGTTCTATAATCCCATCTTTCTATCGTGACTATGGCAGGGTTCAGGTAGAACTACTCAAAGATCAGGCTAGATGTCAGTCAAGGCAATCATGTTCATCCTGAATTAAAGTGTCTATCTTCCAATCACGGTAAACAAACATTTATTACATCCTTACAATGTGCGAAAGATTAATGTTAAATGCCTTACTGGTACGATACCATTTAATCGTCACAAAAACACATACAGGCACTGCAATTAAGTGATGGGATATTATTTTGACTACATACTTTCTTCTAAGCACTGCCAATTCTCCTGAATAAGTGCACCCCTCAAAGTTAATTTTCCCATTTGGATCTTATCAATGAAGATTTGGCAGAACTGTGGTCAGTCCTGGCACTTAACTCTCCCCAAATGTACTTAAGGATGCAAAAGCTACAATAAAGATTCTAGGATATGAAGGGCTAGAAATGTGCTTAAAATGAAAGATTCTAACTTTAAAACCACGTCATATTTTAGCCAACTGCCTACACCCCTCTCTAGAAGCAGTGTGGCAAAGTTGTGCAGATGATGGAGTGTGAGCACTGGCGCACAGCCACCATGACATTAAGAAACTGAGTTACTGCCACACATTTTAATTGCCCCGAAGCACCTTTCTATGACAGGTTCAGTTCCTTAGAACACAGAATGAGTTAAATTATATAAAGTATCTAAAAAAAGAAGCAAATGAATATGTCACTGAGTCACCTAAAATTAAGAAGTAAGTAAATACCTACACCTCTATCCCATACTGTGGACACTGCCTGGAAAAAGACTCATTCATTCACTTGATGGCGGCCCAGAAAGTCAGCAAATGATAACAGTTCTCTCTGCCAAGTCACATGTAGGGTGAAACAAAGATTTTCAGAGCTGTCATACTTGTTTCAGAGGTGAAATGGAAGAGGAAGGGGAAGGAGGGAAAAGGAGAGAAGGTAGAAGTAGAAGGTAGTGGGAGTGCTTGTTAGCGCAGTCCTCTTATACAGAGGCACGTTCCTTACCTTAGTCAGAGCTTGTCCTAAAAGATTCTCAAACGCTTTCAAATTAAGATAAGGACCATGATAGTAGGGGTTACTCTGTGCTTTTCTTCCCAGCCAGTACAATGTTATCAAAACCTTTTAAAAAAAAAATCCATGACAAAATAAGATCAGTGGCAAGTTCAGGTGCAGGTAAGCTCACTAGATAAAAGTAGCACATTTATCTATGATTCAAAAGTAAATTTCCTTTTAAAGTATGTCAAGGGGAAGGGTCATGAAAAATGTTTATTATTTTTGGATTTCCATCTCTGAGCTTTTTCTCAGACCAAAAGCACAGGTCCCAAAGGGTAATTCTACAGCCCGCAAGTACATACAAAAAGGAAAAGACTTATAAGAGAGAAACATAAATTAAGCTCTTAATTAGGGACAGTAAATCTTAAGTTCTCTGAAGAAAAGACTTGGTTATTTATGGTGTTCATTAACTAGATTGATGATGCTGATTATTTCACAACAAACACAAACACAGCATCATTACTTTGTACATCTGAAACTAACATTGTTATATGTCAATTACACTTCAACTTAAACATTTAAAGTAACATTTTTCCAATAAAACTTATAAAATCAATGCTTAAATTCATTAATTCCTAGCTTCTCTAAAAAAGATAGTTCTTGGTTTTTGCTAATAAAGCAGTCACATTCTTCAAAATTATCCCAACATATGCAGAATATCACAGATATAAGTAAATACTGAGCAATTACCCAGAATTCTTAAACATTCAGTGTTTTACCTTAAAGTCTGATTTTGTGGGTTTTTACTTACATCTGTAAAAATTCTGAAGTTACATTCATTCACTTTAGCCATACAACTAACATGTAAGGAACCACTTCCTAGGTTAACCTACAATACAATGAAAGTCAGAGAATATATAGTATGTTGTAACCATATTTAAAGTTGGTGGCTCTTTGAGTTCTAGCAAAAATTCCTGTTAAAAAAGGATAGAGTATATCAGATATTTTTAGATCCCAATGCCTTATTATAGAATATGTTGAGGACAAAATCATTTATAATGTTCCATTAAATTTATCTTACATTTTTCACTCTCCGATCAGTCTCTTCTTGCCTGTTAAGAAATAAAAAAAAAAAATCTATTAATATCTATGAACTTTGAATTATTATCAGCTAGAAATTTAATTCTAAAGTTCTATGAATATTAAAACCATTTTGAAGTTCAGAAATATTAGGTCTGCATATTATCCATCAGAAGAATTTTTCCACGCTCACCGATTTCATGAAATATAATGGCCAATTTTCTATAAAAAGTAAGATTGCCTTTTTATCGTTACTTTATTTAAGTGATGTTTAAAATGCATTATCCGCATTTTGTATATTGTCACTTCAAACAAAGTATAAACCTAATCAAAGGGGGCAAAATACGTGCCTCTGACAGAAAAATCAGGAGATGGGGAAAAAAAACTTTTGCACGGTATTTTTTCTATTGACCACATGGAGTTTTTTTTGTTTTTTTTTTTTAAATAATAAATTTTATTTTTATATTCCCCCATACAATTGCAAAAGCCCCATTCTGACCCCAATCCTTCCCTTCCCGCCCCCACCCCCCAAAAAGTGTCTCTGGTTCATAGTTTTTTGTTGATTTTGATTTTCACTTTCTTATATTCATTTTCCTGGACCCTTATTTAAGTTTTCTAGATTCCTGCTATGAGTGAGACCATCCGGTATTTTTCTTTTTCTTTCTGGCTTATTTCGCTGAGCATGATCCCTTCCAGCGCCATCCATGTTGCTGCAAATTGCATGTGTTTATCTTTTTTGAATGCTGAGTAATATTCCATGGTATATATGTACCATATCTTCTTGATCCAGTCATCTACTTTTGGGCATTTGGGTTGTTTCCAAAGCTTAGCTATTGTAAACAGTGCTGCTATAAACATAGGGGTGCAGGTGTTCTTTGGAATTGATGTTTCTGTGTCCTTTGGGTAAATACCTAGGAGTGGAATTGCTGGATCATATGGAAGCTCTATGTTTAGTAGGTCCAGAAATCTCCACACAGCTCTCCACAGTGGTTGGACCAGTTTGCACTCCCACCAACAGTGCAGAAGAGTTCCTTTTTCTCCACACCCTCGCCAACATTTGTTGTTGCTAGTTTTTTTAATATGTGCCATTCTCACTGGTGTGAGATGGTATCTCATGGTAGTTTTGATTTGCATTTCCCTGATGACAAGTGATGTTGAACATTTTTTCATATGTCTGTTGGCCATTTGCATTTCCTCTTCAGAGAAGTTTCTTTTTAGCTCTTCTGCCCATTTTTTGACTGGATTATTTTCTTTGTTGTTGCTGAGTCTCATCAGCTCTTTGCAGATTTTTGTGATCAGTCCTTTATCATTAGTGTTGGGTGCAAAAATGTTCTCCCAGTTGGTGGGGTTTCTCTTTGTTTTTGTTATTGTCTCTTTTGCTGTGCAGAAGCTCTTTAATTTGATGTAGTCCCAGCTGTTTATCTTCGCCTTCACTATCACTGCTTTGGGTGATGTGTCTGTAAAGATGTCTTTGATGTGCAAATCACGTAGTGTTTCGCCTATATTTCCTTCTATGTATTTTATGGTTTCAGGTCTTATGTCTAGTTCTTTAATCCATTTTGAGTTGATTTTTGTGTATGGTGTGAGGTAGTGGTCAAGCTTCATTCTTTTGCATGTAGCGACCCAGTTTTCCCAGCACCATTTATTGAACAAACTTTCTTTGCTCCAATGCATAGTCTTTGCTCCTTTGTCAAAGATTAGTTGACCATAAATCTGTGGGTTTATTTCTGGATTTTCTATTCGATTCCATTGGTCTGTATGTCTGTTCTTGTTCCAATACCATGCAGTTTTGATGATTATGGCTTTGTAGTATAGTTTGAAGTCTGGGAGTGTGATGCCTCCATTTCCTTCTTCTTTTTTTCAGTAGAGCTTTGGCTATTCGGGGTTTTTGGTGATTCCATATGAATTTCATCAATAATTGTTCTATTTCTTTGAAGAATGACATTGAAATTTTGATTGGAATAGCATTGAATCTGTATATTGCTTTTGGTAGGATGGCCATTTTAATAATGTTTATTCTTCCAATCCAGACCACATGGAGTTTTTCACCCAGGATACTGAGAGCAATCTGCCTAGAGACTAGAAATGTATTGATGGTGAAACATGCACTTTAAAAGATAGCTGTTAATCTCTGTCTTAAGAGATTTCACTCTATTAAAAATAATCATGAGCCTCTCTCTGATCTATAAAAAGATCTGGTATTTATGGGGAAAAGTTTAAAGGACAGAGATGTCACCATAATATTGAGCAAAAATATGAGCTAATTAACAAGAGGTCACCATCAACAAAGGTACGTTCCATCATTACAGACACTTCAGCAGGATCGTTGATTGTGAATTCAGAGACACAGGAGCATGAGCTAGATGGCCTCTGAGGCAACTTTCCAGTCTAAGAGTCATAAAATAATATGTGTGGAAGATAAAGTACACATACATGAACATGTTACATGTTTAAAACACATACACTTTTGAGTGGGGCCGAGAGAAAGGGTTGAGAATGAGCACACAGGGACAAGTACTTAATTTAGCCATGATAATAAAGCAAGCATGAAGTGAAGTTAAGAACATGTACCACCTACCTAACCCCGAAAGAGCATATCAAAAATAAAATCTGCATGGTCTCACATTACTGTGGAAATGTGAATATGTCAAACTAATTTAACTGTTAACCTATTTGGAAGTATCCAACCTAAATATACACATATTCTATGATCCAGTAAGTCAACATCCAAGTATATATCCAACAAAAATGTTCACATGTGTTCACCAAGAGCCACATGTGAGAATTTTATAGAAACCCATTCTTAATAGAAAAAGCTGGGAGCTGCAAATATGTCCTTAAGAAGCAGAGTGGATAAATTACGAAATGTCCACAGAATGAAGCACTACATGGTAATGAGAATAACCAATCTTCAACTGCAGGCAACCATGTGGCTCAGTCTCCCAAACAATGAGAAGCCAAATCTGGACACAGTCCAGGCTACATTATTCATATCAGGCACAGAAACAGGCAAAACAAAGATATGATGTTAGAAGTTGTAGTTACATTATGGGGGAGGAGGAAGTGGTTGGGAAAATGTAGGTGGGGGCTTTTCCGGTGCTGACAATAGCTTATATTTTGATCTATAAGCTGATTACTTAAGTGTGTTCTGTCTCTAAAATTTTTGAATTGTATACTTATGTTTCTTTTTCTGTATCTATATTATACTTCACAAAAGACAAAGAGAATAAATTTCACAGTCCAAGTGCTAACATCACAGTTTATACTCTGAGTGAAAAAGTCATCTTGTGGAAAAAAAAAAATTCCATTTTGGAAGTAGTAAATGGAGATGGAAATTAACAATGAAAAATAACATTTAAAGATGAAAATATTTAGCCTTTTTTACGGCTATGTGGTTAATGAACCATATACACACCTTGGAGATTAAATTAGCCAAAGTACAAACAACTATCAATACTCAATTCACTACTAGTATGTACTAGACTTAAAATCATGACATTATTAATATCCAATGCCACACATCCCCCTTTTATTATAAGCCCACTGAAAGCAGAATCAACAACTATCTTGAACTTCCAACCTCCTTCCCACAGCCTACAAATGTTTCTGATCAAACATACTTATGTGCTATGTACTTTTTATGATGATAAACTCATCATTGTAAATATACAGAATGGCCTGTTCTGCCATAAACACTCTCAATAAGCAATAAGTTTAGCTCCATAACTTTTCATTCTGTATTCCCATCTAAATATGAGCCTTTTTTATATGCTCTTGAACACAATGATACATAGGTCAGCCAAATTATTGTCCTATCACTGAAATGTAATGCCAAGAATTCAAGTAGTTAATAATTTGCTGGGGTGAATAGAGTTCATTCTGACACACAACACACACATCCCACTGCATGCAAATAACCAGGTGACCACAGGGCACAACCCCAACACCTTTTAAATAGAAAAGGCTTGAGGGTGAGGGGAAGCTTAGAAACAGACTCTCTCACAAGCTATTCAAGCTCCTGCTCAGCCCATCACAAACAAAACTAAGGCAACCCTATCTACAAAGTTGGTTAAAATCTTTATAACAAATATATTGAGAGCTGATTATCACATGTAAGAGCCTGGGCTTTAGATCACATATAAGTACTACTAGCCATGTCCATCTGAGCTGTTTATTCTCATAGCTTCAGTTTCTATCTGGAAAACTGGATAATGTCCCCTCAGTTCAGTAGATTAGGAGGAAATGTACATAGTACATAGAGTAGCTAGCCCTATGGTAAGTGTTCGTCAAGAAACAGTTAGACAAACTCAATAAAATTGTAGGGTAAAAAATAAGCAAAAATTCATTGTATTTTTATACACTAACAATGAAATATCAGAAAGACAAATTAATAATTCTAATTACAATTACATCAAAAAGAATTAAGTACCTGGGAATAAACTTAACCAGGAGACTTGTACACTGAAAATATGACACAATGAAAGAAATTAAAGACAAAAAATAAAAAGATATTACATGCTCATGAAGTGGAAGAATACTATTGAAATGCCCACACTACACAAAACAATCTACAGATTCAGTGCAATCCCCAGCAAAATTCCAATCACACTTTCCACGGAAACAAAACAATCAATCCTAAAATTTGCATCAAATTACAGATGATAGATCTCAAAGAGCCCAAGCAATCTTGAGGAAGAACAAAGCTGGAGGCATCACTCTCCGTGATTTCAAACTATACCGCAAAATTACAACAATCAAAACAATATGATATTGACATAAAAAATACATAGATCAATGGAAAAGAAGAGAGAAACCAAAAATAAAACAAATCCTATATGGTCAATTAGTTTACAACGAAGGATGCAGTAAAATCCAATAAGGAAATGAAAGTCTCCTAAGTAAGCAGTGTTGGAACACTTCAATCTAAAAAAAAAAAATCTATTGTTATCTCTAGACTGTAAACTATGTGTGATCAGGGTCCATCTTACTCACCAAGTTATTCATAAAGACCTCCCATAAAGCCATGTTGAAG